TACATCATCATTTATTCTCAGCATATTCTACCAATTATCGTGTAGCAACCCTTACATATTCATTCTTCATATCTGCCCACGATTGTCTAAAATTCGCTTTTCTGTGATATGTTGTACCGGCTTGTTTCCTTATGTCATAGTCCCCTCTTAAATTTGGTTGTCTCACCCCTTGTCAGTTCTTCTCGCTAAATGTCTAGCCCACTGCCATTTTAAGAATTTAATTACATGAATTATATCAGTAACCTCGGTTTTCTGTCTGATCCATTCTATTCTTTTTCGATCTCTCTTTGTTACACCTAGCATGCATCGCTCCATTGACCTTTGAGTGACTGAGTTTCGATATTATCTCTTTCTTTAGTGTCCAAGCTTCGCAGCCGTATGTCATGATCGCCCACCGGGGGACGATTTGAGATATTCAGGGGGAGATAGAGCAAAGCAGGCGATATGGGGGACGACAGAGAAAAGGGGGCGATAAGAGGGGCGTTTAGCATCCGGAACACGAGAAATGGATAATTGAGAAAAATAAGAAAAGAGAAAAAAATACAATACAATGGGTTCGATCCCATAGGATAATAAAAAGTAAATATATGTATACCAATGCAGGTAATAATAACACAAACATCTAGTCTAGCCACAAAGAGCTATGAATAATAATACAATTTAATTGTATACATTATCGTTATAATTATACATTATAACGAATTCTACATTTTCCTTTGATCGAGCTTTCGTATTGTACGATCATCCGCACAAAAGAGAAAAAGAGAGAAGTGCGATAAGAATGATGAGAAGTAGGTACCGCTCCTGCCGATCTGACTCGAACAAAAAGCGAAAGGCCGAGGTTGTCGTCGCTTCAAATGCGGAGCTTTCGTTCCCAGTTTTGCATTGTGTATATAAAGTGTTTTGTTTAACTGACAGTCATTGTGTCAGTGAGTTGTTATTTTAATAAAGATACTGTGATTTATTTGTGAAACTGTTAAGTCCGTCTTTCAATTCGGACATAACCTTCCTACAAGGTATTATTGTTAATAGCAAAAAGTGCCAAGCCGCACACAATTGGAGAAGAACTCATCCTCCCAACTGTCAAAGAGGTAGTTGATACTATGTTGGGACCCAGTCAGACTAGCCAAGTAACAGATGCAGTTCTTCTCAGCAATAATACTGTCTCTAGAAGGATTGATGAAATGGGAGCGAATGTCGAAGATGTTTCTCTGCAACAAATTGAAAAGCAGAGAGTTTACTGTGCAACTTGAGATGTATGATGCTACATCATATGTCCGATTCATTGACGACAATGGAGAAATGGCCGAGGAAATGCTGTTTGCTAGAAGTCTGATTACTGATACAAAAGGATCCTTCATACTTGAGGTCGTTAAGATATTTTTTAAGGAAAAAGAGATTCCCTTATCAAATATGATCGCCTGTGCTACTGACGGTGGAGCAGCAATGACAGGACGCCATCGGGGATTTATTGCACATCTGAAACAAGCAGTACCTGGAATTTTGTGTGTTCACTGCGTCATTCACAGAGAGAATTTGGCTGCCAAGAATTTCGACTTGTCATAGATGCGGCAAATAAAATTAAAGCAAAACCAAAGAATGATCGAATATTTCGTACACTTTGTAAAGAAAATGATGAGATATAATACATTGCTACTACATACGGAAGTCCGTTGGCTTTCTAAGGCAATGCTTAGGCGTTCTCAGTCTCATGGATACTGTTATTGAATTTCTTAATACTACTGACCCCACACTGAGTACAGAACTACAAGAGAAGCGAAATGACATCGCTTACTTATCAGATATTTTTAAAAATTAAATGAAATGAACCTGCAACTACAGGGGAAGAACATAAATATGGCCAAAGTGAGGGGAGTAGTCGGAGCATTCATTGACAAACTATTTTTGAGAAAATATGCAGAGAAGAAATCTAACCAAATTCCCCAACTTGAAATCTTCTTGTGGTGATTCTGAGGATCTTCAAACATACTGCCTCCACCTTCAAACACTAAAGAAGATCTGCAGTCCCGATTCCAAGATTTGACTAGTCTGAAAGTACCAACTTGGTTTATCAATCCTTTCAGCGTGAAAGTTTCAACGGTATGTCCTTCTCTTCAAGAAAACTTGATTGATTTGAAACATGATGTTGAAATTGAAAGCTTGTTTCGGGAGTGTAGGTATGAAAGATTTTGGCCGCGGATAAAAGAAGTGTATCCAATCTTGTGGAATGCAATCAAATTATTATTATTAGCATTCCTCACAACATTCATCTAGTGGAGAAAGGTTTTAGTTCTGTGTGTATATTGAAAAACAGACAAAGAAATAGGCTCGACATAATAGAAAGTGGGGATTTGAGGTTGTTATTAACCAACATTGAGCCAGACATTAAGAAATTATGTATGGGACACCAGGCCCAAGGAAGCCATTAACAATTCTTTTACACAAATGTAACCATTATCATTTTACGAAATGTAAAAATAAATAAATATGGATACTTACCTTTTGTATAGATTCATTATTTGTTTCAATTTTTAATTGGGCCGGGGGGGGGGGGCGATTGTAGTATTCATAACTGGTGAAACCTGTCTAAGAGGGCGATCATGGGAAAAAGGTTGGGAACCACTGGTATAGACTGATACAATGCTTTTTTCTTCAGGTGGATTGGGATCTTCGATTTGAATATAACTGAATTTCTACCAAAAGATGTCCAAGCTAGTTTCATTCTTCTGTTGATTTCTGGAAGTAAGGAGCCAGATTTATGTATTAATTGCCCCATGTATACATACTCGTCTACTGTCTCAAGTGCAGTGTTGTTTATTATTACATCTTGGATATCACTAGCTTGTTGTACATGGTTTTTGTTTTTGTCAAGTTCATTTTTAGGCCAACTTCATTGTTAGCTGCATTTAGGTCGCTTATAAGTTCTTGTAGTTCTGCAGGATTATTAGCAATCAGAACGATGTCGCCTGCAAATCTTAGATGGCTGAGGTATTCGCCATCAATGGATATTCCTTTGTTCTGACAGTTCATTATGCTGAAAATATTTTCTAGAGTTGCAGTGAATAGATGTATATTATATAACATCTAAAAAAATGCACACGTCACTGAGAGATTGCAATGAAATTTTCCATTTATTTTGATATGCTATAAGTTAATAATTTCGTGTAATTATGAGTCATGGGTTTTTTCATAGGTTTATTGTTGACACAAGAAAGTTATTGTTAATTAGGTGAAAGATACAACTACGAATTCTGGGTCAGAGAGTATGACAATTAACTAATTTATCATTATATTGTTAGCACTTTTATTCAGAATTAGGTTGTGCTCTGTCGATTCTACGTCTACGCTAATATATATTATAATATATTCACAAATAGAAAGCCAGAAATATTCCAAGGGCCGACACTAGTTTGGCTGTACATCTTCTTTTCGCTAATAATCTAATATTATGAACATATTTAAACGAAATGGAAAATCAATATAGCCATAAAATAAATAAAACCTTATCCTATGCCAAAAAATAAAGTATATATGTCCGCAAATATAAAATGTATATGTATTATATGAATTTGTATATATTAAATGTATGTCACATTTTAAGGTTAAGGATAGTATATTTTATGGTACAGGATAAGTTTTTATTTATTATTTTATGACTATATCAATTTTCTATTACATTAAAATACCAAAGATCTGAAAAGAACAAATAAAAAATAAAACACACATTCAGAAATTTATTTGTTTATTTCTATAATGTTCTTTGGTGTTAAGTATTGCTTTTTTCTAAGTTCAATTTTTTTAAATGCTTAAATGCTCTTCCATGAACGACTATCTGCAGATTAATACGTTCTTCTGGTTATGTGGCCGAAGTAATTTAGGTATGCTCGGTTTACTTTTTTTAAAAGCCTTTATTTTATATGAATTTCTTTCAGAATTGACACATTTCAAAAGCTTCGATCTTACTCCTATCGATTTTTTTTAGAGTCCATGTTTCAACTGCGTATGCAATGGGAAAAATAAGGGCATTAACCAACCTGCGCTTAGTATTTCTTGATATTATTCGGTCTTTCCAAATTTTAATTAATTTAGATGTTGCGGTTGGGGCAGCGGTAGTCTACGCTTGATTTATGAGGAGCTATCGCCATTTTAGCCACTGTTTAACAGCAGAATAGATTATAGATATAGGATACTAATAAATAATATAAATGAACATGCGGAAATGGTAGTCACGATTCTTGACACTCATCAGACCATTCACCTGTGATCCATGTCATGTTGCACATGTCTAGTATTATATTTACTGAGAGTACATATCTACTGAGAGTACATATAATATGATTTAACCTAGATTCTACAACTCTGTAAACTCAGATTTCCTACCCCTTGATGTACGCTCTAATCACCTGGATTAGACAACATTAGCGCAGAATTAATAAAGGAAGGTGGAAACTCCCTATTGAATGCTATACATGAACAGAAGCTATAATATATAATATATATTCGGCATAAGAAGAAAAACACATTGCAGAAGCTATAATATATAATATATATTCGGCAAAAAACTATACAGCCTTTTCTGTTTACAAGTTAAATCTACAACATCTTTCCCCAATTTCCGTAAAATGGCAAAAGCCTATCTGTCTTAAGGACCATATTATTCAGTAGAAAAGTTTCTTAATGAATAACTAAGAAATTACAGTACCTTTTTGTACAAGTAACCAAAGTATTTTTATCTATATTTGTTAAATTATTTCAATTTTGTAATGGATTGTTTATTTTATCTTTTATTTAATAATATTGACGATTTATGTTAATTTCAGTAAATTTTAATTGTTATTGTTATTTTCTAACTTTTTGTAAGCTTTGTCCATAAAACTGTACATTTTTCAGTGACAATAAAGCATATCTCTATTCTATTCTATAAATGGAAATACAGTTAATTTTTATTTCAAATTTAAGTGGTTTAGATCAATTTTAATACATAAAAATATTGTTTTCAGGAAGACTTTCTATACTCTGCTTTCTGTTTCCTTTAACGTCAGAATATTCAAATAAAGAATTTTACGATGTGCGATTGACTCCTCAAAGTAATCAGAGATGGGTACGAGGATCAACATTTGATCAATCGCCTTTTATTTATCCAGGGCCATTTCCGCCTAGATCAATATCTCCGCATTATTATCCATATCAACCTCACCAACAAAGAAATGTTGAGAGAAATTATCAACCGTATCAATACAGAAATATCGACAGACAGTACCAAGGCCTAGAAAACGGAGATACTGCAGCTGGTAGACATTTTAAACCCGAAACTATATATAAGATAACAGAAACTTTAGGAGCTCTTAACACTGTAGGTAGGTATTTGGTCAACATGACAAGAGGCGGAGAAAACAGTAACACCATTTCGTCGGATGTACCAAGCGCTCTCTATACTTTAAGTAAAAATGTGTTGGGTAGGAATGTTACTGATACTATTGCTCCCTTTGTCAGAGAAGCGTTACCTGTGATTGTTGATAATGACGGTGAAGAAAGTAACAACGATAAAAACTCTAATAAAAATAAAAAGTACAAAAAAGACGTCATCAATCAAAACAGCAAAATCGACGACAAAAAAGACGACAACGATGATCCAAGAAGTTGTACTACTCCCGAAGGAACCGACGGGTAAGCATTTTTTATTATGTATATCAGTTCAGTGTACAAAAATACATTATTTATACTAACTGTATAAATTTAGGTATAAAATTATTTTTAATGAAAAGTTTTGTGAGATTTAAAACTTCGAATAAAATTGCTAATAATAAAAATAATCTGTGAAATTATCAAACCATTATTTATAAAGTAAATAATCTAAACATCTAAACTAAAAAAACTAACAATAATAAGGTACCCTAAACCCTAACAAGTTATCAGTATATTAAAGATAAAAAGTCAATCGCTTCCACCAAATGAATACTGTTTTCACCTCTATATTGTATTACATGCGACTTTACATGCGTTTTCTTAAGGGTCTTATTAAGTTTCTCAATTAAAAGACTTTCTACACTTAACGTAGCTTTCAGTTAGATAGGTTTTTGATGGTATTCATGTCCAGATTCAGTAAAGTAGTTATATTAGTGTGAGCTAGATAGTCTTTGCTGATTTGCGACGTGTTATATTGAACGATATCATGTATTAACATGACGTCGTGACTGATGCGTAAGAAACAATGCTGTCTTTAAGAATATCTCTAATGTCAAGATCCGTCGTATAGTCCCTCCACGACCATCACCGAGCATAAACACAAGCTCTGTTTTAGAGCACCATTTAAATGTTTCGGCATTGCATCTTTGGCAAATCGTCTTCAGGCTTCCTGTAGATCCGGTGTCTTTTCTCATTGCTATATACGCATATTTGCTCTCATCAAAGAATACAGTTTTATCCCATTGACGAAGGAGCTACTCGACAGGTTTGACTGAAATCTATCATATTTCTTAAGGCGTACGGAAATCTATCTTATTTCTGAGAGGGGTTATATTAGCGTCCTATGTTAACTGTTAACTGTTAACCGCAAAAAACAACATTACCCACTGGTAAATAACAACGGAGAGTTAATTCATAACACCAAAGATAAAATAGAAGAATGGGAAAAATTTATACAACAGCTGTTCCGAGATGAAAGAATAGACATTACAATAAATAATGTTACTGAAAGCCCTCCAATTCTAAAAGTCGAAGTGGAATATGCCATTAAACAATTAAAGACCAACAAAAGCCCTGGACCTGATGAAGTTTATCCTGAAATACTTAAATTGATCGAAAGTAATATCATTGTTTTGTTAGTAATTTTGTTTAATACAATCTACGATACTGGGGAAATACCAGAGGAATGGTTAGAATCTATTTTTATTCCCATTCCAAAACAAGCTAACTCCAGGCGATGCGCAGATTTTAGATTAATAAGTCTTATGAGCCAAGTGCTTAAAATTCTATTAAAAATACTTCACAATAGGGTATACAAAAGGTGTGAAAAAGAAGTTGGATACGATCAATTTGGATTGAGAGCCGGAATGGGGACCAGAGAGGCCTTGTTTTCATTACAAGACTGCTGCAGAAGTGTTACGACCAACAAAAGGATGTCTTTCTATGTTTTGTAGACTTTGAAAAGGCATTTGAGCGCGTAAACCATAATAAAATGTTAAATTCCTTGCAGAGCATCAACTTGGATAGTAAAGATCTCCGATTAATTAAGAACTTATATTGGAGGCAGAGTGCCAAGATTAGGATCGACGATCATACATCTAGAAATATTAGTATAAATAAAGGAGTAAGGCAAGGATGCATACTATCCCCTATGCTGTTCAATCTTTACTCGGAACTACTATTCAAGCAAGCCTTGGAAAACCTTTCCACAGGAATAAAAATTAATGGAGAACCAATATCTAGCATAAGATATGCAGATGACACTGTCCTACTGGCTGATACAGACACAAACTTACAGAGGGTTATAGACCACCTTAAGGATGCTTGTCGAGAGTTTGGAATGAAGATCAACGAAAAAAAAAACAAAAGTAATGGTGATCCAAAGAAAACAGAATATCCCCTTACCTATAAAAATAAATGGGAATATTTTAGAACAGGTAAACCAATACAAATACCTTGGCTGTTGGATTAATTGCAAGCTGGACCCAGAACAAGAAATTAAAGCGAGAATTGCTCAAGCTAGGGATAGTTTCTTTAAGATGCGCGTTCTATTCTGCGATACACATATAAATATTAAATTGAGATTAAAACTTGTAAAATGTTTTATCTGGTCTGTTCTTCTCTACGGAGTCGAAACGTGGACTTTAAAAATAAAGAGCCTGAATAGAATCGAGGCATTTGAAATGTGGGTGTACCGTAGAATTTTAAAAATTCCTTGGACAGCACGAAAAACAAATGAAGCAGTACTAGCTAGACTCAATTTAGAAAAAGAACTATTGAGAACAGTCAAAAGAAGAAAAACCAGTTATTTAGGGCATTTGTTGCGCAACGAGAAATACTACATCCCTCAGTTGATAATAAAAGGCAAAATAGAAGGAAAGCGAGGAATTGGAAGAAAAAAATTGTCCTGGTTACGTAATATCAGAAACTGGACAGGACTTGGATTTGAGGAACTCTTAAGAGCAGCTGAAGATAGACAAACGTTTGCCACCATAACCGCTAACCTCCATTGATGGAGACGGCATTTGAAAAAGAAGAAAAAGTTAACTGTTTTTCGGGCCAAATTAGCCAACTTAGCCATTCTTTCCCTCATAAATAATTGTTTAATCTCGATTTATGTCGCATGCTGGTTTCGGGCATACGTCATTTTTGGTTTCCCTAAGATTTTAACAATTTAATATGACATGACATGAAAAATTTAATATGAATTTAAATCCCACATTTTCGATTAATGCATGAGGCTGCTATTAAGGTAGTCACCGCACTCTTGGTTATTCGTTCTATCTGCTGATTTGAACTAAGCCTCGAGTTTAATAATACCCCGAGGTAGTTTACTTGCCTTATAAAATTGAGAGTTAAACAATTCAGGTTATGACGCAATCCCTCTAAATTCGTCCTGGTAAATTTTATAATGTCGGATTTCTAGAGGCTGACATTAAGCCTTACATTTAAGTTACATTCTATAACTATAGTCTCTTGCGAGTCTTTTGCATTTTATCTCTGACGGTGCAATTAAATTTACCGTGGGCTAATATGACCAGCTCATATGATATAATATAATATCTGTCGTTACTGAGTCTAAATATCAACCCATCCATGACCAGATTCCACATAGAAGACTCACCCCTGTGACAGCCTCTGATTATGATGCTTTATACGCATATTGTCCCTGATGTATTGGACTTTCACCATCCTTAATGTACTTATAGAGTAGGTACATACCCTAGTCCTAAGCTGGACTGTAGTATCATAAATAATTTTTACAGGTTATTTCGATACTCTTATAGAAGTATTGGATAAATTCCGTCCAGATCCGGTGATTTATATGGCTAAAATGAGTTTATTGCCCATTGATTTTGTCTTAGTCTAGCACTTCTTGAACTATCGTTATCTTGACTACTTTCGTGACATTGCTATATGACCTTGTCTGCTCGTTCGTGTTCCTAGCACTAGCTTATGTTTTTTAGCGACTATGTCGCGGGGGTAGGTCTGGAGATCTGGAGCCGGAGACGAATTCTGTCTCCGGCTTCTATAATATAAAAATGTAGCTTCTCCAATTCAATTTTAAAGTGTTTGTTTGTCTTTAGTGTATTTGTTATGTCCAAGTTTACATGTATGACATTCCATTATTGCTGGATAGGCCACAATTGACGAAATGCCCCTGAGGATGATCTTGTGATCGAAAGTACTTGGGCAAGATTTAATTAAATACTGTGTTCGATATTTGCCTTGTGTACCATCAAAGTTCATTTATTCGAACATTCAACCTTATATTAAATATTAATTAACTACTAACTAACTGTTAATAAACTATTAATTAACTATTGATTAACTATTTTTTACTATTATTTACTATTAAATAATTTAATTAATATGTATTTACTAATCTAAGTAGATGTTAAGTATATTATTAAATGGATCCAACTTAACAGAATTGAGGCAGACAAGAAAGTGTTAATCAAATATTTGAAATCAGAGATAAAGAGAAATAAATAATTTTCTCTGATTAAAAATAGATTATAATAGAGACCGTTTTGAAGGCATACCAAGACATGCAAAACTCTTACATATCAGCAAAAAACAAACGTTTCACAAATCTCACAAGTGGTGTCAACATCCACCTTAGAGTAGAGATTTATCACCATGTGAGTACCCTGTGTTTGATCCATTATTATCACTAAACTGTATCAGATTTAGTTGGAAGGCAGAGGTAGATACTGGTGTTAAGGATATTAGTATGACTACCTGTATATTGTCGTCCGTTTTTCGGATTAGATTCAGTTCTTTTGCATTTGAGCATTATTTAATTCCTTTTCTGAATTTTTTAGCTATTGTGACGATCTTAGTAATTGTCCACAACTTCTACTTAATCTTGGAAACTTGAGGCAATCACTTTGTTTCAAAAGTCTTTTTGAGCCGGGAGTGTGTTGCCCAAAAACGACAGTATTGTCACCTGTTACGCAATCGCCTACAACCACTACTTTTAGGACGCCCACCACATCACAACCTGTTACTTTTGCAGCAATTTATTATAACACGGAAAAACCGACAGATGTCATTTCAGTGGTAACTACAAAGCCGCTCAGTGAAAATAGCAGTCTTTTGACTATTCCTAGTCGTTTACCGCCGGTAATAAATAATTTTGTAGATCCAGAAGGTAAGATTTTATTTATCAACAGAATGCATGTGCTAGTATTTTGTCTATATTGTATATTCCAGACTGTGGTCAGCCAGAATCTGCAAAATTTCGAGTAGTAGGGGGAGAAGAAGCTCTACCTGGTAGATGGCCATGGATGGCAGCCATTTTTCTTCACGGATCTCAAAGAAGCGAATTTTGGTGTGGGGGCTCTCTGATCACAGCGACTCATATATTGACTGCTGCCCATTGCACCAGAGATTCTAGACAGAGGCCGTAAGTATTTGAACGAATACTATAAAGCTACTAATACTAGACTATCAAAGTGGATTAAAACTTTCGACTGCGCTTCGTCGACTATTCTTGTCTAAATGTATCTAGTAAGGCCACTTATTTCCAGCCTTCTCTTGGTGTTTTATTTTTTTTTAACTTATGATCCCTAATGTATAATTTATTTGGATGTATTACTTTTAGCTATTCTGTATTCATACCGGTAGCAGAGACTTCTAGGTTAACGTCTTTGTAAAATAGTATGATTTAATGTCCAATATTTCTCGTATATAATAATTTTAGAGTATGAAAGTAAAATCCGTTGAGTAAACTATATAGCTCTTTTTTATTTGGTATAAAAGTACTTTCAATAGTAGAATAAAATTAAAAATGCATCAGACCCTTAAATTACAATATTCGTTGCGTGGGATTAACCTATGGATGAGGAGTACGTTAAGTCTTTTTATTTTGTACTGCCTGTATCCTTTTTCTGTTTATCCCTGTTTTTCTACCATCATGCATATGGTTGCCTAACTGAACCCAAAATTGTATAAATGGACCATTCATACCATCGTCTATTATATGTCTGAAGCCAGACTGCACCTCTGGTATGAGTACTGGTTCGTTTGATTTCCTCTTTTAGTCTTTGGTTTATGATTCTTTCTGTAATTTTAATTATAGCTGTCAGTAAATTTATGGGTCGATAACATTGCAGAAATGTCCCGTTTTTCCAGGTTTGAGTATAATAATCACATGGGCTTCTTTCCATAGGGATGAAAAGTGTCTGAATCTTAGTGTACTAGTTTAGATTACTGAGAGGTATACAATTGCTTTCCTTGATAGATTCATCAGGGCTCTATTTGTTATTTCTTTAGGCCTTGATGCCTTCTTTGTAGAATTGTTTCGGATGAATTCTTTTACTTCCTGTGGATATATATCTTGAATTTCGATATCTCCCGCATCGGTTATCACTTCTTCATAGGTTTCTTCTACTTCTTCGATAAAGTTTATGTTTTCAGGTGCACAGTAGTTTAGTCTACAATCTTTCTAAGAATATTTTCATTGTTTTACTATATCGTCTCCAATTCCTCTTAAAATTATCTGTAATTTTCATAGACCTGGTTTGTTGGGCTGGGCTCAGTTCGCCAATGTCGATATCGTAAGGATTGTAAGCATTTTATGGGCGATATGATACTTTTTTGTGAAGTATATAACACCAACTTGCAACGACTGTATTACTGCAAGCAAGCTCATTAAGTTTTTCAGTAAAAGAGTTTTTGAATTTTATATTATTTTAGTAAATATTAGATTAAAAGAATAAGCTGTACTGCTTGCAAAAATATTTTTAGATTTGCTGCTCGTCAGTTTACTGTTAGATTGGGAGATATAGATTTGAAAAGAGAAGATGAACCATCGGCACCCGCTACGTTTAAGGTCGCGGAAATCAGAGCTCATAAGCAATTCTCTAGAATAGGATTTTACAACGACATTGCCATATTAAAATTAGATAAGCCAGCTAGAAAATCCAAATATGTAATACCAATTTGCCTGCCTCCTCCGCAATTAAAAAATGAAAAATTTGCTGGTCAAAAAACTACCGTAGTAGGTTGGGGTACTAGATACTATGGAGGTAAGGAAAGTACTGTCCAAAGGCAGGCTCTTTTGCCTGTCTGGAGAAACGAAGACTGCAACGATGCCTATTTTCAACCTATTACTTCAAATTTTATTTGTGCTGGTTACTCACAAGGGGGCACTGATGCGTGTCAGGTAAGTATCATATTTTTACATAATAGTTGGATTATAAAATTAAATGGAATGTTGAATGAATATCATTATATAAAACTATGTTATATCCTTTTTATATTGCCCTCATCTATACCACAATTGTAGCAAGTGACTCATATTTTCAATGTACACCTTTGCGAATTTAAGAGGAAAGGAAATCGACGAGTCATAGGCGTGCGGTTATTATTAATAAAATAATCATGATTTTGAATGAATTGATTGTCATACAAATTATTATCTTATTGTATAGATGCCTTAGATGAAAAAAACTAATCCTTATTAAATATATTTTTTTGGGAAAAACTGTTTATCCGTTTAAATTAACAAACTTATGACCGGTTCAAGGATTAAGTTTAATTACTATTGTCAAATTAGATTTAATGACATGGGATTAAAAAATCGGTCGTCTAGTAACTTTTAGCATAGGTAAAACTGAATTAATTAAACAATTCTCGGTACAAAACAGTACTAGTAATAAGTGGTTCACCTAAACTGAATATTTATTTCCATAAAATATAAAAAATAAGTGATATGAAGCGTTATCCATAACAATAACAGATCCTCGCTCGATTTTTAACAAATTCATGTACTGCACGACGAATGATCTGTTTAGTTGTATAATCCAATTTTATTTGTTTCTTTCCTCTTGTCTCAACCTTCAAAATAATATTATCGTTTGTTTCATCGTCTGTTTCAATTACACTGTACACACTAGATTAGAAGTCCTTCAAACACATTTCTAATCATAGTTTTTTCTTCGGGTGTTAAATTCTGACGTATATTTATTATATACGGTTCACCATTACTACTGGCAGTCATATTTATTATTTGTCACCAAATTAGATTAAACTAAATTACTCACAATTCACAGAAAGTAAACGTAAGAGCTCCTTCCAATAGTAATACTACAAACAATTATGTTCTCTGCTTTATGAAACCCCTGATAGTGTGCTTATGAAACCCTAACTGGTAGATAACATAAGACAATAAAATAGCTACCCGAGCAATGACGTTGTTGTCAGTTACATCGCCTTAATTTGCGACGACATTGTTGATCTTAAGACATTATTTACCGTTAGAAAAAAATATAAACTACAACATTGCAAAAAACTTTAAGTTGAATGATACACGCGGACAACATAAAATTTTCCCTAGAACCCAAATCTATTCCAAAACATTTGAACAGTTTAAAAATAAACCAATCAAAATATTGCAATATATTTCATATAAAATGAGATCTTTTTTATCTGAACGTAAAGTAGAGTATTTATTTAACTACATAACATATACAATTATTGTTTGTAGCAAGTCAAAAAAAAACATACATAGTATTAAATAATAAAACATTAAATAATACAAACATGAAAACATATTAAACAGAAAAATATTTATGGCAAAGTTACGGTAAGCAGTTCAGTGGATGTTCTGCAATGAGTCATATATTCTTCTGAGCAGTAAAAACAATGTTTTAAAAGATATTTTTTTATAACTTTATCGAAACTATTACAGCTTAAGCTCTTTTATACTTTTTGGTAAAATATTGTAATAGTTATAATTAAGACTATTTTTTTCTGAAAGACTTATCTACAGCGATTTGTTCGTAGGTAGTGACAGTTTCGCGTATTGTGAACATGGACATCAGACTGCTTTATTAAATGGGCACGTTTTCTGTGAATTTGAGTTAAAACTTGAAATATCAACAGAGTAGGTAGCGGCATAATTTTGAATTTGATAAAGAAAGGTCGGCAGTGTTCTAGATAACTAACCCCTGCTAAAATCCTGACAGCTTTCTTTTGTATTCTAAAAATTTGAAGTGCATTTGTTGAATTGCCCCATATAATTAAACCATAGTTTAGGTGAGAGTGGAATAAAGAAAAATATGTCATTTTTAATGTTTCAAAGGTGACAACCCTTGCTAGTTGGCGAATAACAAATAATGAACTTGATAGCTGTTTCTTAAGGTGGAGATATGAGCAGACCAGTTGAGTCGATTATCTATGGTTATTCCCAATAGTTTAACAGTCTCTTTGTTAACTAGATCATTGTGTAAATTACTTGCAGATATAACCATATTTTGCGTTTTATCAGAGTTAAGTTTTAGTTTGTTTGCAGCAAACCATGAGCTAGACTTAGTAGAAACTTTCTCATGAGACATTTTTAAATCATCATTATTTTTTCCTGATATAACGTATGTCGTATCATCTGCGAATTGTATGGTTATGTACGGAGATATGAATTTAGGCAGATCGTTGACATAAATAATAAACAAAAGAAGTCCTAAGACCGAACCTTCTGGGACTCCATGTTTTACGGATAGAAAATCAGAGAGATGACCTTTAGACACTACCGCCTGGTGTCTGCCACATAGATAAGAAGTTATAAGCTTAAGAGGGATACCTCTGATTCCATCTTCTTCTTCTTCAAGTGCCCTGTCCGTTGCGAACGTTGGCTATTAACATGGCAATTTTGATCTTGTTTGCGGCGCTTCTGAATAGTTCGACCGATGTGAGCCCGAACCACTTCCGCAGATTTTGGAGCCACGAGTGTCTTCTCCTGCCTGGCCCTCGCTTACTGTCTATTTTTCCCTGGACAATCAATTGTAGCAGACGGTACTTATCGTGTCTCAATATGTGGCCTAGATATTCAAGCTTTCTTTGTTTAATTGTATTCACGATTTCTTTCTCCTTTCCGATTCTTTGGAGTACCTCTATGTTGGTGACATGTTCGGTCCAGGATATACGAAGAATGCGTCGGTACACCCACATTTCGAATGCTTCTAGTTTTCTCGTTAGCGTCTCCGTCAGCGTCCAGGCCTCCACGCCATACAGCAAGATCGGAAAAATGTAGCATTTAACTATACGTAGTTTTAGGGGAAGAGACAAATCCTTGCTTATGAGGAGCTTTTTCATATTGCTAAATGCTGCTCTAGCTCGTTCTATTCTCGCCTTAATTTCTATGGTCTGTTCCCATTTTGCATTTACGTTGGTGCCAAGGTACACATAAGATTCTACATGGTCAATTAATATGTTACTTATCCGTAATTGTCGAGCAGGTTGTTGCTTTTTGCTTATCAGCATCCACTTTGTCTTCTTGAAGTTGAGGCTCAGGCCGTATTCCTCACTAACTGAATAAAGTCTTTCCATTACTTGTTGTAATTCGTCTATGGTACTGGCAAGGATCACCGTGTCGTCGGCGTATCTTATATTGTTCGTTAACTCGCCGTTTATTTTAATGCCCTCATTTGCATTTTCCATACATTTGTTAAATATTTCCTCGGAATACATATTGAATAGGAGTGGGGATAATATACACCCCTGACGGACACCCCTTTTGATCTGCACGCTTTCAGTGAGTTCGTTGCCAATTTTTGCTCTTGCTGTTTGACCCCAGTATAGGTTTGCCACAATTCGAATGTCCTTGTCGTCAATACCTGTCTTTCGCAGAATACCTATCAATTGTTCATGATTGACATTGTCAAATGCTTTTCTAAAATCTACAAAGCACAGATACACGTCTTTATCAACGTCTCTACACCGTTGTATAAGCACCTGGAGAGCGAAAATTGCTTCTCTAGTTCCAAGTGCTTTCCGAAAACCAAACTGCGATCTATCAATATTTGACTCACATTTATCATATATTCTTCTGTGAATGATCTTAGTGAACGCTTTAGTGACATGATTGATCAAGCTTATGAGCCGGTAGTCATCACAAATCTGGGCATTTGGTTTCTTCGGGATTGTAATAAATGTTGACTGTAGCCAGTTCTCCGGGATTTTACCGCTATTATATATGTTGTTAAAAAGTACAACTAGATTGTCAAGGAACTGTTTGTCTGATTTACATAGGATCTTTAATATTTCGCAGGGTACATTGTCCGGACCTGCTGACTTATTGTTTTTTAGTGCTGCAATGGCATCTTCTATCTCCGATTTAAGAATTGAAGGTCCTGTTTCTCCTTCTCCATATAGGTGATCATCAGTCCTGTTAGATGCAAATAATTTTTCTATGTATGATTTCCATGTTTTTAAGATCGTTGATGGCTCCGAGATAAGATTTCCATCGCTATCTTTTATGCTGTTGGGTGACTTATTGAATTTCCTCTTGTTTGTCATCGATTTTATTTTTTTGTGCATATTGTAACTGTCGTATTTTCGTTCGTATTGTTCTATTTCCCTGCATTCGTTGGAAAACCATTTTTCTTTGGCTTCTCGAATTTTCGTTCTTATGGTTTTGTGGATCTGCTGGTATTTTTCTGCATTTTTATTCTTGAATTTACGTCTTTCATCCATCATATCCATTATCTCATCAGACATCCATTCTTTCTTTTTTCGTCGGTCTCGCTTTAATAGAGTCGCGCATGTTGTTTGGATTGCTTCCCTCGATTTATCCCATCTCTCTATTATGTCCGACGTGTTCTCGTTAATGTCCTTTATTTTCTTTCCTAGTTGTTCTCGTACTTTTATTTCGGTTTCTGGGTTAGTGAGTTTTTTAATATCGATTGTGTTTAAATTAGATCTTTTCTCGAGCCGTTTTACTCTCATGACCATTCTGCATACCAACACATTGTGGTCCGTAGGAACATCGGCACCTGGGTACGTTTTTGATGATTTTATCATGTTTTTATATCTTGTTGGTACTGCTATATAATCTATCTGATTTCTAATGATGTTGTCAGGTGAGTCAGCGGGGGATTTCCATGTGTAAAGTCGACGTTTGGGGAGCTTGAAGAGTGTATTACTTAACAGCAGGTTATATTCCTGGCAGAAGCATATAAGTCTATCACCTCTATCGTTTCTCTCCCCTAGGCCGAAGTTTCCCACGATCTCATTCACCTTGCCTTTGCCAACCTTTGCATTGAAATCTCCCATCACTATTGTTACTTCATGTTTTTTTGTCATTTTCATCAGGCTTCCCAGTTGTTCGTAGAATTCTTCGCTGGTTGCCTCATCTTTATCTGCCGTTGGCGCGTATACCTGTAATATATTAATGTCCACCGGTGTTGCTCGAATTTGTAAAAGCATCATTCTATCTGAATGGGGAGTGAAAGATTTTACTGCCGAATTAATATGTGGGGCAACTACTATTGCAGTGCCGTTTCTGTGATGTTTTGTGTTGTTTCCAGCATAGTAAACTTTATATCCAAGTATATCGCATTGTCCAGAGTTTTGCCAGTGTGTTTCACTTATTCCCAATATATCAATTTTTAATCTTTTCATTTCTTTTACAATATTATGGGTTTTGCCGCTCTCGTACATACTTCGTACATTCCAAGTTCCAATCCTTAGGTGTTGAGAACTTGCTTCCTTTTTTAGGCCGTAGGGATTTCGCTGGCTGACGACCAGGGAGGCCCTACTATTTGTTTGTGTGCATCCTCCCCTGCCGGATCTTGGGATCCGATCACCATGATCAGTGATGTTTTTGTTATCGTAGTGTATTGCCATGATAACTATTCTAGGAAATTCTTATGAGGTGGTTTTCCGTTGCCTTCCCCATCGCAGTACCACAACCATTCAAACTGCTCCAGTCATGCTTGTGGTAGTCCAGTTTCAAGCCGATCCAGGATCATTTCCTTTGCGCCTTGAGCTGGTACTGATGATCGCTGCTGCCCTTCATCAGGGTATCACTCGGTAATCACTCGGTGAAATTTTCGCCATATCTGGCTACCCACACTTAGTTTAGCCTGCAGACCAATGCAGTTGCCCGGGGTGTGGCACGTGGAGCCATAAGTGAGAGTTAGGTGTCTTATGAGGACCAGTTATCTAGAACCATCTCCCGTCTATGACGCTCGATGTGGTCGTTCCAATAAAAGGTACTACCTCTATAACACAACCCTACACCCTCTGATTCCATAGTAATTTAATTTGTGGAGCAAAATGTCGTGTGAAACGCATTCAAAAGCCTTTGATAAGTCGCAAAGAGAAATTGCTATGCGATTGCCGCGTTGAAGCCCCTCAATCACCTCGCTCACAACATTAAATACCGCGTTCGTAGTAGAACCAGCACCTCTAAATCCATATTGTGAGTTGCTAAAGTAATTATTTGACTCAAAATATAGGAATAAAATTGTTGTTTGATAACCTTTTCAATCACTTTCCCAAAAGTGAAACAATGCTTATGGGTCTGTAATTGTCAGTTTTTGAGGAATCACCTTTTTTGTATATTGGTAGTACTTTTGAGTATTTTAGTACTTCTAGAAATACTCCTGTGGATAGAATTAAATTAATAAGATGAGTAAAAGGTGTTAAAACTATTTGGTAAGTTTCTTTTAAAATTTTGCATTAATCTCGTGAACGTCGCTACAATTAGAATTACTAAGCGACTTTATTATTTAAGAGACCTCTTCTTCCAGAACGGGCCGAAAAAAAATTATATATAAAAAACGTATATTCTTTGAACGGTCAGAAGGTGGTTTTTGTCAATGTTTAAGAGATTAAACACATTCTGCAAAAATTCACTAATTTGTTTATTAAATATTAATTAAATTTTCTCCCTTTGTAGGTATTCCAATAACAAAAATATTTTTTCCAAAGGGTAAACGTCAAATTTTACTGGCCATAAAAAACCATGAGTCACTCGCTAGAATTGTGGTACTTTAATCTAGGTGACAGGTGTTATTGTGCAATAAGATTGAAATCCACAGAAAACCAATCTCGCCCTGTCCTTATGCACTCATAAGGAGTATTTTCGGGGACATCAAAGTATTTGTCTGAAAGATCTGCATGGACAAATACCTGTAAAATGGCGTACGGATACGGAATTTTGTTTTTGTGACGTCTAAATACTAGTGCCGTCGAGGGGAATGAGACGTCTAAATAGTAGATGTCCTCGAGAGAGACAAGGCGTGTTGAGGCCTCGAATCCTTCTCAAGATGTATTTTTTTAATAGGATTGGATAGGGAGAGATACCAGCGGTATTGTGAATTAGATTTGAAGAACAAATATATTCTGTAGTTTTTCTCTCTTTCTTTCTTCTTTATGTGCCGTCTTCTACCGAAGGTTGGCGACCATCATACGATAGGTTTCTCTGTTTTGTGCCGCATGAATTATGTTCGCAGCTTCTGGTATTTGAAACCATTCTCTCAAGTTTCTCAGCCAGGATTTCTTCTTTCTGCCCAAACCTCTTCTACCTTCAATCTTGCCTTCCACGATAAGCTGTAGCAGACTGTACTTATCATTACGGAACACATGGCCCAGGTATGACGCTTTCCTCCTTTTAACAGTTGTTAACAATTCCAACTCTTTACCCATTCGTCTTAATACCTCTGTGTTGGTCACTCTGTCTGTCCAAGGTATTCTCAGTATGCGTCGATACAGCCACATTTCTAGAGCCGCTAACTTCTTTATAGTTGCTGCTGTTAACGTCCACCCTTCTACGCCGTAAAGTAGCGTAGAGAGTACGTAGCATTTCGTGGCGCGCCATCGGAGGTTAATGCTTAGGTTGCGGTTGCTTAAAAGCTTTCTCATTTTGATGAATTTGGATCTTGCTATTTCAATTCGGATCTTAATCTCTACTTCTGGGTCCCACTTGTCATTTACTGTATATCCCAGATATTTAAATCGGTGTACTCTTTCAATACGTTCGTCTTCAATATGCAGGTCGATATGTTGAAATTTTTTTTTACTGATCACCATAAATTTAGTTTTCTTTCTATTGATCTTCAGTCCAAATCGGCTGCCAGTTGTATTAACTCTATGTAGCATCATCTGTAAATCTTCGATGTTATCGGCCAGTATAATAGTATCATCTGCATATCGAAAATTACTTATTGGTACGCCATTAATCTTGATGCCCTCATTGTACTCTTCTAGTGCCTCTAGAAATATTTGTTCCGTTACAGGTTGAAAAGCAGTGGCGAAAGAATACAGCCCTGTCTTACCCCTCTAGAAATGGTTATGTTTTCACTCACCATATGTCCATTCTTCATGTGGGCTGTTTGATTCCAATATAGATTTTTTATAATCTGGATGTCCTTAGTGTCAAGTCCTGAAAGACGTAATAGTTCTATGAGTTTGTCATGTTTGATAGTATCGAATGCTTTCTCATAGTCGATAAAACAGACGTAAACATCTTTCTGTTGATCCAGGCATTTTTGAATCAAAACTTGTATTGCAAAGAGGGGTTCTCGAGTTCCAAAACCGCATCTAAAACCGAACTGTGTTTTACTTATGCTGTGTTCTAATTTTGCTCGTATTCTGGAATGGATAATACGCAAAAATACTTTAAGGGTGTGGCTCATTAAACTTATAAGGCGATATTCACTACACGTCTTAGAATTATATTTCTTGGGAAGGGGCACAAATGTAGATTTCAACCAGTCCGATGGAATTTGACCAGTATCGTATATCTTATTAAACAGTTCCAATACTACATTCAGGTTGTTCTCGTTAAAAACTTTTAAGAATTCGACTGGTATTTCATCGCATCCTGTTGCTTTCCCATCTTTCGTTTGATCTATAGCTTTTATCACCTCACTTTTCAATATTTTTGGTCCATTCAGATCAAGAGTGTTCGTAGAAATATTACGATAATCCGTAAACAAATCTTTTATGTAGATTGCCCAAGTCTGTAACTGTTCTTCTTTATCTACAATAAGTTTATTGTTCTCGTCTATTAACCTACCAAACTGTTTTTTCTTGTAAGTATAAGTAAACTCCTTGATTTTTTTATGCATGTTAAAACTATCGTGTCTTCGTTCTAGCTCTTCTATCTCTTGACATTTTTCTTGCAACCATTTCTCTTTGGATTCTTTTTTCTCTCTGGGGCAACAAAATTATTCCTATGCCTAGGCTTATATTTTATAAGCGTGCAAAAGCGTCGTTTTATTAGACTATTTAATAAGTTTTGCAGTTTGATAAGAGATGGCGTTACTACTAGCCTAATTTTTTTGTTATGATGGTACATTTTTCATATGAACGTATGAATACCCATTCTTTCTATGGATATACCCATTCACACTCTGGATGAGACTTGGGTCTATCACCATGATTCTGAATAAAAATAGAAATCAGCCAAGAAGATATTAATATCAGTTTTTTTAATGCAAAAGGAATTTCGTTTATGGAATACTTGCAAACTGGTAAAACAATAAATTTGGAATATTATTGTAACCTTTTAGGTCAGCTGAATAAAAAAAAGTTAAAAACGGACCGGGTTGCAGAAGAAAAAATACCTTTTCATTAGGGACAATGGCCGCTAGCGACTTTCATTTCTTTTAATAGTTAAAAAAATGCATGCGTGGAAAGTGTTTTTCATCAAATAATGAGGTCATAACAACTGAGAAAGCGTACTTTGCAGCCCTTCCAGATTCTCCCTTTAAGGATTGAATTTATAAATCGGAATCTCGTTAGTTTTGATGTTCAGAGAGACTGTACTGAATAATAAAACGTACGAATTTCCCATTAATAGATCCCAGGAGGGTGGATCGTCTGCGATTTTTATTAAGGATAGTTTTAATAGCTTTGTCCTCGGAGATAGTCCCTGAGTAGTTTCTAGCCAATTAGGGATTAATACCGTACGCTGGCGCGGTTAGTTATTAGTTTACACGTTTCAATTCTCCGCGAATGATTTTTGGACATTTCTTACTGTTATTTCTAACCTCAAAATACACAAACATTTCTAACCTTTTGCGCAGCGCATCAGTCAAAAACAAGTCATGGATTGTCTCTGCGAACAAAGCTAATATGTGTCCCAGTTCACAGTTTTATTTAATTGAACTCTCAAATACAACACTGTATATTGCAAATCGAGTCTCACTCCGTGGATGGTTAAAAATGGGTTGAAATTGTTAAATGTATGTATATGCTCATTTAATATTTTTGTAGGGTGATTCTGGAGGCCCATTGATGACTTCTTGGGATGCTAGGTGGATTCAAGTAGGAGTGGTCTCATTCGGTAACAAATGTGGAGAGCCAGGTTATCCAGGAGTCTACACGAGGGTAACAGAATACTTGGATTGGATTGAAGAAAATACAAGAAAGTAAAAATACTTGACGGTTTTATTAATGCTATTTATGCTCATGTTACCAGTGATACAATTTTCGTGATTAAGTTAATTTTGTACTGTATATATATATATAAACATAAATTATTATTATTACTATCGTAAGTCAGTAATATGTGATATACTTATGGAATTAAATACACATACATACTCCAATACTTAAACTTTTAATCAATTTATTAAAAAATCAATTTACAAGTGCTCGTTGTATATAAAAAGGAAACCAAACTAAAAATAAATTATTTATTATTTACAGAGATATAAATGTTAGCATGGACCATAGAACTAATTTGCAATATGCAAAACCTATTTAAGATGTTAAATATTAAGTGAATAATGTATCATAAAATGTACTAAAAATAAATGGCAACCATAAATTACGTTAATGTTTCCACACTAAATACATAAACTGAAATTTTAATAAAAATGCACCAAGACAATTTGAAAAGTAGTAATTAATCTAGCGTTAATAAAATGATTCGAGATACATATGTTTGATGCCATTCAGACCATATATCCTTACAAATATATTTACAAACTGTTATTTTCTGGTCAACAAAATATTTCCCGTTTGCTTTTAAATAACATTAAATTTATATAAATGATATTTAAGTTTAGTTGCAGTTTTTATAGTACTGCATTTTTCCTTCTAGTCTTGAAGTATAATCGTTCATTTTCTTAATTAAACCTTGCAACGTGTCTTCTAACGTTTTTAATTCCAGCAATTGTCCGCTATCTTCTAATTTTTGTATGTCTTCTTGTGTTTTAGTAACTTTGGCGACCAAATTAATAGACTTTTTGAATAAATCACTAGCTCGCTCTTTGGTTGCTTTTACGTTATTTAACTTTTGATCTAATTCGTTTGTAGCCTTATTGTATTTTTCTTGCAAGACAACAGATTCTTCCCTAGTTTTTTGCGCATTTTGCTTAATATTTATAGATTCCTCTATAACTCTATTTGCGAATATTCCATTATCGGTAATATTTCTTTGTAAGTCTGTCAATTTATTCTTAAGTCCACGAATATCCGTATCTATGTGAGTTGTCAGATCCTGTGCTGATTCAGTTTTATTACCGATCTAAAACATAAAAAGAAGACTATTAAAAATGAATCAAACTTTTGGGAGCAATAAAAAAACTGAGATAAAGAATGTGTTTCATTATTTTTCAATTTAAACACCATGCATTAAAAGCTAATTTTTTTAATTTCATGCTATGTGTGTCATGCTATGTGTGTGACAAATCATGTGTGTAAAACCTTATATACCAGAATTTCCTATTATTTCCCAGTATTGAATATTATTGCCTATTATTTTCTATTATTTCCTATTATTTTCTATTATTTCCTATTAATCCTATTAATCAGTTTAATGAGTCACTTGCTGAAACTCTTCCTTAGGATATTACACTCAAGAATGTACAAGATACTAGAAGAACTTAGCGGGTCAACACAATTTGGTTTTAAGGGAGGACTAGGAACAAGAGAGGCAATTTTATGTTTGAACACTTAATAAAAAACTGCTTAGATCAACGAAAAGATGTCTACCTCACCTTCATCGACTACGAGAAGGCATTTGACAATGCTAAACATGATATTATGATGGAACTACTACATAAGGCCAACATTGACCAGAAGGAGATCAGAATTATTCAGAATCTATACTGGAACCAAATGGCAAAGGTGAGGATTTATCAAGACCAATATACGGATGAATTTGAAATCCGGAAAGGTGACACGGAATTAGGCATTAAGGTGAACGATATACCAATTAGCAACCTACGCTATGCGGACGACACAGTGATTATAACTGATAATTTGGAAGATCAGCAGTTATTACTTGATAGGGTAAATAGCATAGGCAAAAAATATGGCCTCAAAATCAACATTTTGAAAACGAAATATATGGTCATTAGCAGAAACCCTCCAGAAAATCCGATAATATGCATAGGTAACGATCGTATAAAACGCGTGAAAACTTAAATACCTTGGCACCACAATCAATGACCAATCGGATCCACAACACGAGATAAAAACCCGAATACAAATGGCAAGACAAGCTTTTGTGAAATTCAGACCGCTCCTATGTAATCAAAACCTAAATTTCGAAATACGCTACAGAATGGTCAAGTGCTACATATGGTCCATCTTGGTTTATGGCATGGAAACGTGGACTTTGAAAAAAACATCTATCAACAAACTTGAAGCATTTGAAATGTGGTCATTGAGAAGAATGATGCGCATACCTTGTGTGGATAGAGTTTGAAACGATGACGTCCTTAAGAGAGCCGGCGTGGAAAGAGAACTCTTTGAATTAATTAAAAAACACAAGAGTGGTTACCTTGGGCACATATTGAGAGGAGCAAAATATGAAATACCACAGTTAATCCTACAAGGGAAGATCGAAGGTAGGAGGGGAGCCGGCCGCAAACAATTATCCTCGTTAAGGAATATTAAAGAATGGACAGGAATACACAATACAGGCGAGCTGTGTCACGCCGCCAAGAACAGAATTCTAGTAATGAGATAGTCGCCTACGCACTTTGGTGTATGGCATGTTAAGAAAAGGAATTTCCTATTATTTCCTATTATTTCCTATTTTTTTCTATTATTTCCTATTACTTCCTATTATTTCCTATTATTTCCTATTATTTCCTATTATTTCCTATTATTTCCTATTATTTTCTATTATTTCCTATTATTTCCTATTATTTCCTATTATTTCCTATTATTTCCTATTATTTCCTATTATTTCCTATTATTTCCTATTATTTCCTATTATTTCCTATTATTTCCTATTATTTCCTATTATTTCCTATTATTTCCTATTATTTCCTATTATTTCCTATTATTTCCTATTATTTCCTATTATTTCCTATTATTTCCTATTATTTCCTATTATTTCCTATTATTTTCTATTATTTCCTATTATTTCCTATTATTTCCTATTATTTCCCAATATTTCCTATTATCTACTATATTTCCTATTTCCTATTAGGACTGCAAACCTAAGGAGGAACAAGAGGCATTCTACGAACAATTGCAAACCATCCTGGATGAAATATCTCATGAAGAACCCCTAATTCTTATGGGTAACTTCAATGCACGAATGGGAAATGAAATAGTTCCAGGAGTAAAACAAAGATTTAATGAAAACCATGTTAATGCAAATGGAGAGCTCGTGGCTAATCTGTGTGCTTTTAACGAACTAAGAATCAATAATACATTTTTCGACCATAATCTCCAGTATAAATATACATTTGAAAACTCCAGGGGGCATAAATCTATGATTGTTTTTATACTCACTAATAGAAAAATCGATCCAAAGCAGATTCTAGATATCCGAACTTTAAACTCAACAAATGCAGGGAGTGAACACAAACTAATACTAGCAAAAAAATAAGAATAAAAATAACACCAAAACATTTTCTACAGGAAATCATCGAGGAAAAATTCAATGTGAATCACTGTGTAACGACTCTACAAGTGAAATGTACAAAAGAAGGCTAGCATAAAAGATACAGCTGAAACAAATAGACGACAACAAAGATATAAACGCGAGCTAAAAACAACATTGAAGCAGCAGCAACATAAGCTCTAGGAAAAACGCAAAGTCATGAAACGAGAGGCTTACACGGAGGATAAAACATCAAATACTACAGAATCCCGAGACACCTATAGAAGAATACGAAATGAAACAAAGCAGTTGGTAAGAAGAACAAAAAATGAACACTGGGAACAGTTTACAAAAAGGATGGAAAGCGACTTCTACGGTACACAAAAATAAATATGGAGGTATGAAGAAACCAACGGAAAGAAATGGCAGAATTGAAGGAATACAATAACATACCAGAAAACGGATGGAAAAAGATACCTGATGGAACTGTTTAAAGGAAAAGAAAATAATAATCAACACAATAATGTACCTGAATTAAGACAAATAGTAATTAGTTTTCAGGAAGTAGAGATAACCATAAATTCACTCAAAAAGGCCATCAAGTACAATAAACTAGCATAGGCATAGCAAGGCGTTCGATCGCATCCAAGTCGAAGACGTCTTACACCTACTGTATAAAAGAAACATACCAATCAATATAATACAAACCATCGAAAACATCTACTTCCATAATCGAATACAGGCAAAGATAAATGGAAAACTAACACAGTATATACCAGTACAAAGCGGAGTCAGAGAGGGTGAGTCGTTAAGCCCACTTCTCTTTAATATAATAATGAACGAAATAATACAAGCAGTATGTAAAGGTCATGGTTACAGAATGAGGATAAAGAAATCTAAATATTATGTTATGCAGACGAAGATTAACACACATCTTCAATACAAGAACCAATAAACACAATATGATAATATCACCAGAAAAAATCAAATGTATGACAAAATCTAAATACTCACTACGATATAAAATCGAAATTGATGGGAAAGAAATAAAGCAGGAAGCAAGGTTTAGATATACGGGAATAGATATAACTAGTTACAGAGATGTTGATGAACAAGTACCACAACAAAGCTTAAAGCGGCGGGATCTTTTAATGACACAATCTGGAAGAACAAACACCCAAGACAAGATACAAATACAAGAATCTATAAAGCATCAATTAGACCTATATTAACATTCATACATGGCGGAGACAAGACCTGGCATATCTAAAATAAGACGACTACTGGAAACAACTGATGAAAATGTGAATAATTTTCTACAATAGTTTATTTATTATTCTAATAATAATTATTATTCCACTAAATTGTCTTCTAAATTAAATTAAAGTCTATACGATCAGCACGACATCCCTTCTTCGTGCTGTTTCGTATCTTCTGCGCCTGTCAGAATTTTACATTAATCTATTCAAATCAACTACCCTTAATATCACTTCGTTTCTGCCTTCTCAAATAGAAACAAGATAGTTCTGTTCTCGCGCTTCTCAAATAGAAGCAGTTTTGAATAACTTATTTTATTAAATAGTTAATTAAACTAAATTCAGTGTTTGTGCATCAAATATGTAAGTACCTGAAATATTTTTTTCATACAGAAGATAATCTACGGTTTCGTGCCAACCTTTCATGAATGCCGGTCCGACAAATTACAGGGTTGCCGGATATTCAATAATCTACATATAAACTTTATTGTTCTATATTTTCATATAAACAGTTGTGCGTTTAAGAACATTGTACATAAACATTTATATTTTATTATTATAAAAAGGGTGATTTGTTGGCGATTCCGCTTTTTTATTTATTTTTGTAAATAATGTAATAAAAATATTTCTAGCTTTTATTCTTATTTTTAATTATTTCATTTTCTATTTTACTACTCACTACATAATTACATATCCGCAAGTTTGCGACCTATGGGTCGCTGGTCCTTCGAGGTTTAATTTATTTTTTATCTACCAAATGTAGGAAGGTGAGATCATAATTTTTCAAATACTTATTTACTTTTAATTTATCGAACCAGCTACCTCATCCTTTCCCCTACAACTGAGATGAAAATACTCCGACTAATATCAGGGAAAAGTCTGTTGGATAGGGAGAGAAGCGAAAAAATAAGAAGAGCATGCAATATAAAAGACATAAATATATGGGTGACAAAACGAAAACAAGAGTAGAACGAACACATTAGTAGAGAATAGCACGAGATAAATCACCAAATGGACGAAAAGTATTGGCAGACCAAGAAAAATATGGTGCTATAATTTAAACAATTTAGAAGGCTAATATTGAAGAAGAGCCTACATACAAGAAGGTAGAAGAAGAAGAAGATTTCCTATTATTTCCTAATATTTCCTATTATTCAAAAAAAACTGATAAAGAATTTGTTTCATTATTTTTAAATTTGAACCTCATACACTAAAAACTAGAGTTTTTTTTTAATTTCTACAAATCATGCTATGCGTGTAAAACCTTATACCAAAAGAAAGGCATATCATAAATATTTCCTATTGTTTCCTATTATTCCCTATTATTTCCTATTAAAAAAATCTTTTCATCCCATAAAAATGAACAGACCTCCAATATAATAAAAATTATATTGAAATGATAGCATCTTCCCAGGTAAAATATTCCGGAAACAAACTGAGCCTCCGTTCAGATTTCTGGTTGAGGACTATTTTAGGAGGAACACCATTACAGGTTAGAAAAATTAGGAAAGGGACTTGGAATCTTAGAAGTTTTCAGGTAACAGTGTGTAGTTAGTAGATGCACTTAAAAGAAGGATAGTATAAACCGCTTTCATTCAAAAGATTAGGCAGAAAGGACAAAGGGCGAAAGAACTAGATGCAGGATACAAATTGTAGTATGTAGGGAAAAATAACACTAGGTTAAAAATGTTTAAAACTAAGTTGACAAAAACAGAGTATTTGGAGTGTTCACTTAAAGATGGAGTTACTAGAAATATAATAATATTTTTGGATGGTGAAATTATTGTGAAAAGTAATAGTTTTAGGTGTCTAGAATCGATATTAGATAGGTAGGTAGTGGAGATAATTAGGGTTGTATGGATGAAGTGGAAGGAAGCGAGTGGTGTGTTGTTTAACAGAAAAATTACAATGAGGCTGAAAGGAAAATTCCATAAAACGACAATTAGGTCAGTTATGATGTACGAAACTGAATGTTGGACAGTTAAAGAGAAAGAGGAGCAAGGAGTGCATATGACGGAAATAAAAATGCTTAGATTTAGATGGGTAAGTGGAGTGACAAAAAGGATAAAATTAAAAATGGATGTATTAGGGGAAGTCTAGGGGTAATTAGAGTAACCGACCCCGCATAGGGATAAAGGCAAAGAGAACGATGATTATTACAATAGGAAACCATAGATAAAATTAAACGACTGGTTAAGAACAGACAAAAATAAAAACTAAAAGTAAAGGAAATAGAATTGCAATCCGATTTTTGAAATTACATTAGAGATTGGAGGAGTACAAATGAAGTAATCGCGAATTAAAAAAAAAACAAATAATTCAATATGTACATGCATTAAATAAATAATTTCAATAATAAATATTTACCATGTATAGTATATTTTCAACTACCCTATAGTCGTTCCAAGCTTTATCAATGGCACTTTCAGCCTCCTTTTGTGCATCCTGCGTTTTATTTAATACATCATTGACATCTTCTGCTTCTTTGAGTAATTTCGTAGCATTGGTCCTAAAAGAGTATTTTAAGTTATACACAATAAATAATAAACTTGAAAACAATAAACTCATACAATTTTTGTAAGTTTAAAAACAATTCACCAGGAAACGGACCATAATTTAATAACTATATAGTTAACCAACAAATGCAAAATGTAAACAACCAGCCAATGCCAATCCAGTATCGATCAAACCAAATGAATTGTTACCCACTAATGCAGATTGCAAACAACACACATAGTCAACCACAAATCAATCATATATAGGTTGTATGATAAGGTTTGGCATAAAGGACTTCTTTATAAAGTTAACAAATGCTACCACCATTCGTTCAAATACTTACGTCATATTTGAAAAACAGACAGTTCAGAAAAAAGTAAATGGAGAAATATCCAAAATGCATCCCATTAAGGCGGAATTCTGCAAGGCAGCGTCCTGGGACCTATATTATATTTATTATATGCATGCAACCAACTTCAAATAACGTAACGATTGACACATTTGCAGATAATACAGTATCACTCACAAGTCATCAACACATCAACATACAAAATCAACAACATACTAAACAACAAATCCAAGATTACTTGTATGAGCTTGAAAACTAACTGTAACAATGGAAAATAAAAATAAATGGAAGCAACAAACATAACTTTCACTTTACGACGAGAAACACCAACACCCACATAGATCAACAATGAGGAAATACCCAGGACTAAAACAACCAAATACCTTGAGCTACACCTGGACCAAATCATGTATTGAAAAAAACATACCAGCAAACAAAGAAAACAAATACAACTAAGACAAAAAGAAATCAATTGTTTAATTGGAAAAAACTCTGCTGTCAATAAATAATAAAAATTTAATTTATAAAACATTCCTCAAATCAATATGGACATATGGTATAGATATGTGAGGCTGTAGTAGTAAATCCAATATTGCTATAATGGAAAGATGTCAATCAAAAATCTTAAGGTAACCAACCAAAGACTCTACGAGGATCTCAACAGTAAAAGAAGTGATCCAGCAAAATAAATCGCAATACATTCAAAAAGTAAACACCCATTCCAATCCATTAATTTCCACAATACCTTAACATCAAGTTATCAGAAGACTAAAGCGACGTTGGCCAACAATCCAGTAACATGGACACATGATTCTCTCACTGGAGGGGACCACATCACGTCAGAACCAAGGGACGGGATCTAAACTCATCACATTAACTTATAGAATACATTTTTATTCTGATTGTTAATTTATTAGTTATAATAAAAAAAAGTTTTACCAAATTAAGATTTATTATGTAAGAAACTTACTTTGCATATTTGGCATGCTCCTTTAACTCGTTAACTTTAGCTAAATCCCCTTTAGTGTCTTCAATAATATAATCAGTATTTGTTAAACGATCTATAGCATTCTTAATATTCTCAGCCAGTTCTCTAACTTCTTCCGGTGTTTTTTCGACATTTTTCTTTAATATCTATCGGAAACAGAAAATGTTAAATTTACGGTTAATCAATTTTATAAACATAATATAAAAAGAAAAGCTTACTTACCTCTTCTGCCAATTTTTTAATATCTGCAGGTTTAGACTTATTTTGATTCATGAAGTCCATCATTTCATTTCTCATGTCACTCATTTCTTTCAAAGATTTATTGGCGTTTGTAAGTTCGAGGAAAATTTTATCCAAAGTATCCTTAGCCAAATTTCTGGTGTCGTTAGTATTGATTTGAGAAACCTGTAACAGATAACTTTTATTGAATATGTTCTCCTATAAATTTTTTTAATAGTGAAATTCACACTGAAAGTGCAGTACGGCTAAGATAGGACAGCACTTTTCTTATGGCAAATAAACACACAGGGTTTTCGGTCTTCGCCAGCTGTTTATTATTTACTCAAGAGCATCGCACGGGACCGGCTTCGATAAAATGCACCTCCCGGCAGTACGAGTATATATTTTATATTATATATACATTAGAAGACAGAAAGAAGACAGCTGACGGAAAAATACGGCTCCAACTACACAGGACAGCAATGTAGTTACATTGCTGTCCTGTGTAGTTAACATTATAGGAGGTAAATCCTAAAAGATATACGAGAAAACAATACAGGAAAAATATATAAAATAATTCAAGAAAACAAAAGGTTTAAAGCGAAATATGAACAACGTAAGCAATAAAAATATGTACAAAATAAAAAAAAAAGATGGAAACATTGCTACTAATAGAACCAAAATCCTTGAGGTTTTCGAATCCTTTTATGGCGAAATGTATGAGAGCACCGACGAAAGGCAAGATTAGCCCCTGCCCAAAATCACAAACCAGGGATCAGAATTAATGCCAGAAATAATTTCATACGAAATCAAAACAGCACTTTTAGAAATGAAAAATAATAAATCCCCTGGCGATGACGGAGTAGTGATCGAAGTGATCAAACTAGGTGGAAATAAAATTATCCAGGCTTTGGCCAAGCTTTTCACCGAATGTGAATGTTTATATATATATATATATATATATATATATATATATATATATATATACATATATATATATATATATATATATATATATATATATATATATATATATATATATATACATATATATATATATTAGGGTGGGCCGTTGAGTAATGTGTTTTTTATTTTATTTTTTTAATTGAGTTGCCTGACCCCAGAAAAGATGTATGATAAGATAACTTATTTCACAGTGTTTTTTTTTATAATCAATTTAATTTTTTTCCACTGCCACAGAGCTATATAAGAACGAGATTTTTACGAAAAAATTCAATCATTTAATATTATGTCAAATTCGTTTTTTTTTTAATTTATTATGGTTGCCTGAGTCAAAAAAAGTGTTTTATACGATAAATTTGATCATATTATTTTTTTTGACAACTAACTTTTTTTTCTACTGCCACAGCGCTGTATAAAATTAATAATTTTTCAAAAAAAAAAATGTATTGTATGGTAGATTTATTTTTTGCATACAAAAAAATAATTTATATTAAAGCTAAATTTGTTTTGAACACATAATACAACAATACAAATACAAAAATAGTTTATCTATAAATATATAACGATACAAAACAGAATGTCTTTCAAAAGTAACAATCACATTATTTAAAAACAAAGTCTTTCTTTAATTCATATTTTGGCATATTTTCCCTTGATTTCAGCCTGTTCCTTATATAACCTTCTCCTTTTTCACTTCCACAGACACAAGCTGAACCTTCTGTTACTATTTTGACGGCCCTCTCAGCCGCTTGTGTGTGACAAGGGTATGATTTTACGTATGCCAAAAGACTGGTTTCAGGATTTTCAACAACTTCCCTTAGTTGGTCTTTTGATAGCTTCATAGTTACAGGAGGCTCTGTCCATAAAACTTTCTGGCATTTGATAATCTCAAAGTAATCCTTACTGCCAAAAAATTATTTTGGTACTACGAAATGTCGCTGATCATTGTAATTTAACTGTCTGCTCTTCAAAATTCTTTGGAACCCCAATTGTCGTATGTGTTTACGTTTATCAAACAACATAGCCAAAATAATATTTTCTGGGCTTCCAAAGTATCCATTTCTTTGAATACATTTATAGACTATGTCTTTCAATTCTGGTAGTAAATAGTCGCAGAGTCTTATTGTCTTGAATGGATGCCTTGTACTATAAATGCATGACGGGTGAGTCTTAATACAAAATCACATGGGCGCATACACTTTCATTACAAAATGGCTTAGTATTTGTAAATTTTCCGATGGGTTTCTGGTTGCTACGTATAACCGAAGGATAGGGGAAGCAGTGGTAAGCCACCGAGAATGAACCATTTTTCCAGGCTGTCTCTTAGAAAGTTTTTCTGAACAAGCACCACCTTTCACTGCTTGACAAATATCGTACAGGTATTTTACTCAACTGTCGGTAAAACACTAAAAATAATTTAAGTGTCGCTAGGCGGTTTAATTGATTGAAATATTGGTTTACACTTACACCTCTGCAAAATCTGCAGCATAAGCGAAGCGTTCCTCCAATGTCACGTTAATTTAAGAATGATAATATATTATAATCGGTAATATTAACTTTGTTTATACTAACGTCTACTTTATTGTTATTGGGGAATTTCGGACACTCTTTTAAGTAGGTCCCTAAAATAAATTTTTCTCTACTTATTAGTTAGTGGAAAAATACGCAAATAAAGTTTACTATACTTACGTTATAAAGTATGCATCAAACCGCCAGAACAATACAGATTTTATTTAAATTTAAATTTATAAAAGTTACAAAATAAATAACCCTGATGTTTCAAAAATTATATAATAAAAAAATATAAAGATCTGCATTTGAAATAATTATTATTTTTTATTTTTTCCACTGCCACAATGACCTTTTATATTAAAAAAATATAAAGTCTTTGTGGCAGTGGAAAAAAATATTTTTAGCTACTCATTTTGGACTTAAAATTTGTGTTTTAGTATAACTTAACTTTTTTGACCACAGGCGTTGTTATTTTCCAGAAAAAATTTTGTCGGCCCACCCTAATATATATATATATAAATGTATATATATGTATATATATATACATATATATATATATATATATATATATATATATATATATATATATATATACAGGGTGATTGATTAGTGTGAGGAAGCTCAGTAGATCTGTTATAGTAAAAATTACTAAAAAAAGTTATTAACAAAAACTGTAGGCAGCTTTAAACTCCACATTTTAAAATTAGTTACAATCTTACAGGGTGTTCCATAAGATGGTGGCAGACCAAACTTATGCTTTTTTAAATGAAACACCCTATATTTTATTTTAAATTTGAAATCTGCTTCACTTCCACATTACAACAATGTAAAGTTTTATTACGTTATACCGGGTATTTAAAAAGTTATAACCAATATTACCTGAAAATCGTATCAAGTTTAACTCCCTGTGCAATTAAAAAGGAGTATAGGAACATTGATCTATTGCAACCATAGTTTTTAAATAATTGTTAAAAATTATAAAACATATTCGTTTCTATAATATTCATTAAATCAAATACAGGGTAAGTCAAAATGCAAATACATTATTTTCTTGGTAATTTTAAATGGAACACCCTGTATTTTATATCACTATCGAAAAGAACTAATATCGTACTTCATATTTTATAAAGTACTCCCTATACCTATCAAGAACATTCAAAAGGCCGTCAAATGATGCAAAAGTTGTGAGAGGCAATTTTAAATCATATTTCAATGGAATAGGAGCGGTTCCATAGTAAAACGAACGCATTTAGAACAAATATTAAAAATGACTGCTAACGTATAACGTTAAGTACTACGTAAAAAGTAACAATAATTACTACTTTTATGATATAATCTACAGTAAAAATATCAGCATATTATATATTTACTTTTTACTAATAATTCCTTTCCAATTGACTCCCATAAATTGGCTTTAATGTCCCGATTGCGGTATGTTTTGAGCCTCTGATCTCATAAACGAGGCTCATTTCTCACCAGATAAATCAAAATTTCTTAGTCCATTTCTGCCGACTCAGTCCGACGTCAGCCGATATCGGTCGTTATCTGATCGGGGTTCCCACTTCAGTATAGGCACTATGCATTAATATCTTGAGTTTGTTTTCAATCCGACGTCGGCCGACGTTGCCCGATATCCGATCGGGAGAAATACGGATCCAATGTAGGTTAACACTTAAGTGAACACCTAAATTGGAACCGTATTTCTCCCGATCCGATATCGGGCGACGTCGGCCGACGTCGGATTGGAAACAAACTCAAGGTATTAAATCATAGTGCCTATACTGCTTCCGTGACGAAGCAATGGACCCATACAGGTTGATGATGATGATGATACATTAGAATAAAAAAGCATTGTAAAAGTTGTAATTGAATACTCCACGAAGTATATAAGTAGCTTGGAAGTGTATAGCTTTTTTTGTTTTGTACTTGAAGTAACGATTCTTTTATACAAAGCTCGAATAGTTTCCAGGTAGATTTACGAAATTAGTCAAAAATTGTGAAAATAAGTACAAATATGTAGTGATGTCACAAAATCATTATCATATCGCCGTTCCAGAAGAACAATGACGTAACTGCAAAAATATGGTAATTGCAGTTAAATACGTCCCTGTTCTCAAAAATATGTAACACACATGGGAGAACAACGACGCAAATGTAGTTGCTCTTATGGCCGCTAGAGGAAGTTACGTCGTTGTAGAAATATTGGATGTTTGTGGCGTAGTTTCGGGAGAACAGTGCCACATGATTCAGTTCAGTCCTTGACGTTAGTGAGTCTGTGTGAGCGTCCAGTGGAACAACGACGCAATTGGAAGATTTGGAGCAATTTGAACCACTTCGATCAAGATTCCAGTGCAACAACGACGTAAGTGTACTTTGTGTCATTGTTTATTAAGGGTCTTATTTCAATTTTGTGACCTAATTGTACTTTTCGTCGTTATTGAATCTGTTAATAAGCTTTATTTACTTCATAACTGTTGTTAACGTCATTGTCAAACTGATAGACCGTCAGATAATGACAGATTTTGCTGAATGATTTTCTCTTTTCTGGGATTTTAACCACTGAAAATCGTCAGTGTTCAGTTTAAAAAATGAAAATTTAGCGACCGGACTTGTACTATACATTAACATTTACAGGGAGGTCCAGATTAAACATCATTAATTTTGAGAGGTGATTTAAACATATGATTAATTTTAATCAAATATTGACTAAACACTGACATAATTTTCAGTGGTTAAAATCCCAGAAAAGAGAAAATCAGCAGCAGTTAGCAAAATATGTCATTATCTGACCATCTATGAATTACTCGATAGCAGGGATACTATTAAGGCTCCCCTCTAGTGAATTTTAGCGCCTATCTTAAAACATTGGACCGTATTTTACGTTTTTTTAGAAGTACGCGCACAGAGGTGTGAATGAAATAGCAACTTGCGTGCTACTCTACCTTGAAGAGTTGTCAAATAACATACCTGGGCCAAAGTTGTATTCTATTCTGATAATTGCGGGGGACAACAGAAAAACAGGTTCGAAGCACAAAAAAAATTGCCGAAGAATTTAATAATTTTTTTTATTGTTTCTGTTGTAGATTCGTGATAGCGATGTATTTGTATGCGGTTCAGCAGCTTAACATTCAGTATATTTCACACAAGTACTTAATTCGTGGTCACACGCAAAATGAAGGTGACGCAATTTATAGCATCATAGAAAAGTCATTAAAGAGTGCTAAGAGGTCTGGGCCGATTTATGTACCTGACCAATATGTAACCATTATCCGACAAGCGAAAAAGAAAAGAGAGCCTCTACTTGTCACAGAAATGGGTTTTGCAGATTTTAAGAACATTAAGGCGTTGCATGATGAGATGGCACCTGATATGGCAAAAGACGTAGACGGAAATATCTTCAAATTGAGTGAGGTTAAAATACTTCAATTTGAAAAAGGAAGTAATACGTTTTACTACAAGAATAGCTATAAACAATTAGAATGGAGTCAAGTTCAGTTTACAGGAAAGAAAAGGCGTTCAGCAGAGAATATAAAAGCAACTAATATCGCTTTGAAACCTGCGTATACTAAAAAAATACTACTCTCAGAAAATAAAGTTTGAGATTTAAATAGTTTGGTAAACAGCAACATAATTCCCAGCTATTATAAAAGTTTCTATGATCCTTTAAATAATTAGAAAACCCTGTTACATTTTTTGTTTATTGTTACCTACTAATGATTGTATTTTTCAGTTACTATGTTTAGTTTGGTATAATTTAATCTACAATCTAGATTTGCTTACTTTACACTGTTTGTTCAAGTTTCTGAAAATAAATGATAGTCTTAGTGCCGTTTCACATGTAGCCGACGGTCAGCGCTGACCGTCAGTGATGATAAATTAAATGCATTAGCGCAAACTAACCATTTCACATGCCTTGCGTATGATCAGCTGTGCAATGCAATGCATTTATTCATCATCACTGACGGTCAGCGCTGACCGTCGGCGTCGGCTACATGTGAAACGGCACCTAGACAGCAATCAAATTGTTATCAAGAACTACTTTTTCCCCTTTCCTTTTTTGTCAGAATTTGTTATTTTGACTCATAATTTTAGGAGAACAATGACGCATTTGCTAAAGGGGGTGATGGTGGAGGCACGGGGTGAATTTTAACAAAAAAAATGTTTTGAACTTTGGTGTGAACCTTATTATAACAATTTGCCTGAGTCCCAATTCAACAGAGAAATTAACTTTTGAATTATGGCATTTTTAAAAAATAACTTTCGGTTTTTTTCGTTTCCTGAACAATTATCATTTTGTCAGTTACGTCATTGTTCTTCTAGAGCAGCGATATATCGTTCAACAGTCAAAGGAGCAGCTCTCATCCTACTCAATGAAGAAAAAGTATAGCAAACCAATCAGCAGAATGCAGCAGGTTTTGGTTGCCAATGCCAATGCTAAAAGAAGTCAACAACAAGAGCGAATTAAAGCAAGTCGTAGGCGTATCATCTACAATTTATACACAAACTTTTAATCTACGTAGACACACATTACACAAACAAATAATATAAAAAAACACACAAAAACAGCCAGAATTTAATATTCTAAGGGTAAGAACACCACCTTTGGTTTTTTCCTATCAATTGTGGCTTAATCCCATATAAACATAATATTTAACTTAGATATGCTAAAAAGAACCTTTTTAATAATTACTTACATTTCTAATGAAATCATTAGCAGCTGTTTCTTTATTTCTGAGAGCAATTTCCGTATCATTAGCATTCCTAATAGCTGTAGCAGCTTGTTGTTTAGCACCATTCGCACAAGTAATGGAGTTGCCGCAACCATTATCACAATCAGCACCTCCACAAATTGCGTCGCAAGGATCCCCACGTCCATCGCAAACTAAATTGTTTAACTCTGGAATTTGGCTATTGAGTTGATCTAATTTGTTTGAAATATTGTTGATCTCGTTTTCGTTGTCTTCAGATTGTTTTTTGTATAATTTTTCTGTATTGTTTATGAAGTTTGCTGTAGCTGTGCACTGTGTTTCGGCATATTTGACATCTTCCTAAAATATAAGACCACGGTTATTAAATATTATTCTTCAGTTCAATATTAAGAGTAACAACAATGGTTTCTGTAAAATTAATTAATAAAAAAATTATTTACTGTATTTATTGTGATTTAATTGAGTTACGTAACTTCTAAAATTTTTAAAAATTCCACCGTTTCTACTACTAATATTACTGTCTCCTAAATTGTCTGACCTAATATTTAATAATTGTTAAATAATACACTTACCTGTGAAATTTCAGCCTTTTGTAGCGCCTTATCAGCTTTCTCTTTTGCTTGTCCAATTAGTGACAGAGCTCCCTGTACATTTGCTTCTTGCAGTTTCGTACCATTATTTTCAAGATCTTTAATTTTCTGTTTGAGGGCATTTAGTGAGTTGTTCAAATCGTTTAATGTTACTTCTTTCAAAAGTACTAACTGCTTGTTGTCATCCAGTTGGTCATCTAATTTGTTTAATTTATCATTTTCTGTTATATTTATTCTATTCCGTAACATTTGAAGCTCATTTTCTATTTCATCTACATCTACTTCATCTGTATTATTCAGAAGTTGTTCAATTTCGTCTAGTTGGTTTTGCATTTCATCGAATTCTTTGGTGTAGGCCCCAGTGGCTCCAATTTTTTTTATATCTCCTGCTCTTTCAATAATTTCCAAAGTTTGATCTAAAATAAAGTAGATTAAAAAATGTATAACATATAAAATGGATGTTTACTTTTAGCTTCCATAAGGATTCTATCCCAATTGTCGAAACATTCTCCACAAGCTATACAATCTGGAACGCCTCCTATATAACCTCTAGCACATGTATCACATTTATAACCTCCCACTCCAGGTAAACACACGCACGTTCCTGTTTGCATATTACATTGTTCCGTTTTTGAACCCCTTAAATTGCAATCACATTCTAAAAAAGGATTTAATTTAGCAGAATTATTATTTTTAATTTGTTCATATCTTACTGAAACACTGGACTTTTGGATCTCCATAAGATCTAGGTGTACATTCGTTACATTGCCTTCCTCCAAATTCTGGTCTACAATGACATTGTCCATCAAACTAAAATCAAATTAAATTAAAACACCAGAAATGTAGAAAAGTAATAACATACCTCATTACACTGAGGACTAAGGGAACCTAGAGGGTCGCATGCACAAGCTTCACAACCTTCACCACTAGCAATCTTCCAGTGATTGGCAATGCAAGCATCACATCTTAAACCAGAAACGTTGGGTAAACAATGGCATTGTCCGTTCGTAGGATCACAATGGCCTGCCGAGCTATTTGTTCCCAAAATGTGGCATACACATTCTTCACAAATGCGATCATCTGAATATCGAAAGAAACCAGGTCTACATATTTCACAGTGATCACCTGTAGTATCGTGCAAGCACCTCAGGCATTTTCCTGTATGAGGATCACAATTTCCTGGAGCTAAGAGGTCAATTTTGTCGCTACATTCACAAGGCTGGCATTTTCCTCCGGGCACTTCGGGATTTCCATAATAATTATCTGAACAAACATCGCATCTAGCTCCAGAATATCCTTCTTGGCACTCACATATAACATCTTTGGAGATAACATCCAACATACATCTATCTGCGAAAGAATGGTTCGAACCTAAATGTCCTGGACAAGGGCATGGTCTACATGCAATATCGACATCAATTCTAGGATCACCGTAAAACCCATCAATACAATATTCACAGTGTTCTCCTTGAGTATTATCTCTGCAATTAATACAAATGCCTGTTTTTGATTCACAAATGTCTGCATGGCCGTTACAGTCACATCTTTCACAATTGGGAAAGTTCCAAGATCCAATTCTACATTGATCGCATTCTCTACCGTAATTGTTAGCTCTACATTTACACTGGCCAGTAGTGACATTGCAAAAATTGTCAAGTGCACCAATACTATTACAATCACAAGATTTACATCCTTCAGGACTAAAACCAAAAGTTCCAGGAGCACAACGATCGCATCGCCTTCCCACTACATTCGGTCTACAGGTACAAAAACCGCCATTACGATCGCAAAGCTTGCTGACAGATCCATGGGGATCACATTGGCAGGCTACAAATATTAATTATTAGTGAATATAAAACTGTTTTATAATGTTATTACTTACAAAATGCTCCATTAAATACATATGCTCCAATACTAGCACGATATTTTTGACAAATTTCTGGAATATCTGCTTCTTTTCCAAAATATGAGGGATCGTTGCAGTGATACCTTTCATATTCCTGTCTCCTAAAATCTGCAGCTGCCGAGCCTTGGAAAAATGGTATGTCGTCAATTCGAGGAAGAAGAACTATGGAATCGATTAACACAGAAGCTGTTGGAATTTCTTTTTGTACATTGGATCTTCTGAATTCAAGTATTATTTTGTATATTTTCCCAGCTTCCAGGCAAGCTGGTGGATACACGATGACACTTTTTGATGTTGCTGGTAGATGAACCAGTTTCATGTCGTCTCTAGGATTTATATTTTGACAGGGGCCTTCTGAAACTCTATCTGGTCTTTCAATTTTCACGACAACTTCTTCCCAACTCTCTGAACTTGTAGGTTCATATCTGACAACAATATCATAATTCATAGAGGTTTTAATGTCGTCAATTACAAACTCTAAAAACCCGCCTTGGAAAGTTTTACCAAAACCAGTACCAGTCCAGGTGTTTTTTCTTCCGTCCCTATATGGTTCTCTTATAACAACTTGCCCATTAGATTTGGCAGCTTCCGCTTCATATAATAGGAAATCAAGACTAGCAGTGAAGTATTGTTGTTTTGGAGTATCACAAGTTCTACCTGTCATATGATCTCTACATTTGCACTGTCCACTTATTACATCACAAAAATTGTCGTATGAACCACCAGGGTCACAGTCACATTGTTGACAACCATCAGGCTTGTCGGATAATCCCCAATATTGAAGAAGACATTGATTACAATTTCGCCCAGTTACGTACCGTTTGCAAGTACATTCTCCTGTGTCTACGTTGCAACCTTGATTACCAATCGTACCAAAAGTATCACAAGTACAATTTTGACAACCTAAAGGATTTTCCTCCGTGAAATTCCAAAAACCGTTTTTACAAACATCACAACGACGTCCCTCAACATTTTCTTTACAATGGCAAAATCCAGCTATTAAATTATTTACTGGGTCAGTGACAGAATCGCAGATTCCACCATCCAATGCTCCTCGAGGATCACAATCACAGGCTGAAATTATAATTTAATTGAAATGTAACTGATATTATCGGTATTAAAAAATACTTACGTCGACACACTTCTGGATCTTGTATATCCCTCTGCGGATCTCTGTAATAAAACGGTTTACACAATTCACAATTTGGTCCCATAGTATTGTGCTGACAGCCATCACAAACACCTCCACTAACATGTCCCGTTGATTCATATAGAGCTGAGTCAAAATGACAACTAGTTGCATGGTTATTACAGTTGCATCCTAAAAAATACAATCTCTGGTTTATAACAAAAACATTTAAAAATAAAACGAAAAGCTTACTTTTACAAGCGTTAGTTTGTTTTCCAATAGCAGGTCTCCACGGCAGATCATTGAAAAAATCTTCGCATTTTTCACAGTTGCGACCTTTGGTGTTATGAGTACATTCACATCTTCCGTGTACCATATCAGGTTTTGGATCTATACCAGGAAGAGGAAGGCAACGGTTTGCATGACCATAACATGAACATGATCCACGAACTACCCAGTCAGTTATAGCATAATAGTATTTCTCCTGAAATCACAAGAACATCATGAAATTAATCGTCCTAATAATTGCAAGAGCAGAATCACATGGATTTTGTTTTGTTGTTCACGAGTTCTAGTGACTATAAAGTCAGATTTTAAAAGTTTAAAAAGTAGTAACATAGTTTGTGCTCTGACAAGTCTAGGACATAGACGTTAGGACGTCAAGGAAAGCAGATACAATACGAAGCTTCTTATCAATTCCGCCATGTTTTCCATTCAGTTAAAGTTAACATTCTCGAGTAGAAATAGTATTATCTATTGAGTTATAACAGGATAAAGCAATTTACGCCCAAGTTGAAATAAATTGAACCATATTTCAGTAGTCAAATAATAAAAAAAGTAGGAAATATTTCAATACATTCGAAACGTCGTGTTAAAAACAAAAATATTGATCTAGTCACGTCCAAAGTACTCAGCATAATCTTCCTATACACCAAGAACTACGTATTTTTAGAAAAAAATGAGGAAGATATTTGATCACTTTACAGGATCCAAATTTTTCATCAAAAATTTTATTTACAAAAGAAAAATATTTTGTTCTTAATGCCGAATAGAATAGAAAATAGGATAGTTTATTGGTATAGGAAGGAATCAGTATTTAAATTTCCTGCACGGAAAACATTTCCCCAGAAGTTAGTCGAAAAAGTCTAGGGATAGTTTTAGAAAGAGACATAATTTCTTCTTTAATTGTTTTTGATAAGTAATAATCGACTTGTAGTGATTAGTAGTATTTAATATACAACAAAATGCATCAATTAAAAAAATGGGTAATTAAAAATTATTAAATAAAAAAAATAAAATTAATACAAAGAATGGCGTCTACCCTGATTTATTACGACTATACATAATGTCGTTCATAGACAAAATGAGATTGTCGATATCCTGTTGAGCTATTTTTGCCCATTCTTCAATCAGATGATCTCAGAAACGAAACGACGTGTATGTGATACCCATGTGTGGAGTAATTCTTTGTTGAAGCATGTCCCATTTATGTTCAATGGGATTCAGGTCGGGGAGTTGTGCTCGCCAAGGCATCATATCGATACCTTTGGGAGACTCCCATGCACGCAGCTACAGTGATTTGCCACATGACACCTTGAAGAAGGCCTACAACCCAATTCAACTTATTCAAAGTTAAATGACTTTCCATGATAAAAACACATTTTTGATGCACTAACTAACAAGAACTTAGAAGCACGAACAAAATCGAAACTATCAGAATATTTACTGCATTATGAAAACGATAGTTTTTTCCTCTCGTATTAAAAACTTTGTCAAAATATTCGTTATCACTTTTGCCGTTTTAGTGTTACTCACAAAAATATACAGAATGAGCAACTTACCACATGAATTTATTGTTATTAAAAATATCCCTAGACTTTTCCGAGATATATATATATATATATATATATATATATATATATATATATATATATATATATATATATATATATATATATATATGTGTGTGTGTGTGTGTATGTGTGTGTGCGTGTACGCGTATGTGTGGGTGTAGGTACTTACTTGTATTTCTTCTCTTCGATCCAGAAGATCATCTCCTAGTGTATGTAATTTAGTAAAATTGATTCTTAAATTTGTAATTTTTAATAGTCCTTGTACTTGCTCTGAATAAGGATTGTCTATGGGCAAGTTTGGAGGAAGCACTCTGTAAATAATCTCTCCGTCAGTAGATGGAGCTACGCCGGAATATCTCGATTCGCATACTACGTCCGTAATCTCTTGAGCTGTACCTTCTTTGACACCAGGAAAACTTTCTGTACAATTCGCAGCAAAATATCTATATACCTGGAAAAAATAAAAATTTAATTTTTGCTACCTTTCATTGGTAGATCAAGATGGTCACATCAAGATGTGTAAGGGCTGAAATTATTGCATCTATTACCAATTTTGTGATAAACCTGGAATGTAGATATACCAGATCCACAAGATCAGGTATTTTTCAGTGTTTTAATTAGCAATTCATATAATTTGTCCTGGATAAACGCGATATAAAACCATTTTTGTTGAGTTATCGTTAACAAAATTATCAAGTAGACATGTAGGACATTATTGAAACCAAAGGAAGAAAACGTATTCAGCTTGAAGATGATATTGGGAGAAAATTCCATGGTTTCTTTTTATCAAATGAAATTCCAACCTCAAAGAAAGTCGCTGCCGAAATTGATTCTACCGATTTGATACCCAAAATATCACGACGTATATTACTGCGAACATTAAGAAAAATGGACATTAGATATATGAAAAGAAGTAGTAACTCTTATAGAAAGAGGAGAGATTATTTTGCGGTGGAGACATAACCTGAAAAAAATCCAAGGCTATCGTCTTGAAGGAAGAAAAATCTACTATTTAGACGAAGCTTGGCTAAATCAAGGCCATGCTGTCCCAAAGGTATGACAAGATGTTGAAGTAAGAAACCGTTGACAAGTTTTTATTGAAGGGTTATTATCGGGTCTGAAAACACCAACGGGCAAAGACGGATATAAATTTTAACAGATATAGCCGGTGATTCGGGTTTTCTGAATACTTTAAATCCAAGAAAACCAATAACTTATCAAGAAATGGATGCCCAAAAAATTGGAAGGTTGGCTTTTAAAAATTTTATTAAACCTTGAACCAAATTCTGTCATCGTTATGGATTATGGATGGACAACCCATCTTACCACAGACAATATGTTGAAAGTAGACATTGTTACTACATCTTGCAAGGAGACATGTATACGCGGGACCTATAATCACAATCTGGCAACAGTGTTGGCGTTAAAATTCGATTAATTATCATTTCCTAGAATTTAGTGTCTACAATTTTGATACTCTTCTATACGAATGCGTAGCACTCTTTATTTTTAGGAATAATGTATGAAACTTTAAAACTGATTAAGATATGAAAGTTACAATTTCTTTATTTATTACACTTAACTGTTCATTTAATATAAATCTTCAAAAGTTTAAGATTTTCTTATAGTTTTATATTTCTAGCAATACTCGAGAATTGAGTACATTCGACCTTTACAAATCATAAAAAGAAGAATAAATATGCTTAATTAATTATCTAGGAATTTCAACAAAATATTATATTGTAAGCATCTGGAGCTATCGAGAAAATAAAAACATAGTAAAATTTCAAATCAATTTAAAGCCTAAATGTCTTTAAATTAGTTGAATAATAATGCAATATTTGGACTAAAATGTCCCATTTAAACAGTTCCTAACTGTTTCAACCACGTTTACTAATCAATTTTCTTCTCAAAAGATGGTTCTTCTGACGCTAGAATAACGTTCTTAAAAATACCTATTAATTTATCAGATTAATATACCACAACTAACTTAAAAAACGTTAAAATGAACTACTGTCTATTATGTAGAGGAGAAGGGGGCACTTTTGAACGTGGGGTGAATTTGAACAATTCAACTTTCCTTCTTATAAGCACCACAATATTAATAATATTTCTTGTACTTACGGTGTTGGCTACATTTATACTACTAGTATGAAGTTACAGGAGCGATTGTTGTTGTGTTTACATACGTAACAGCGAATATAAGGTTTTCGGTATTTAAACGCATCTGTGTGTAATTTTGGTTGTAAGGATAATACAAGCAAAATATTCGGAACTGGGTGGTGTTGCTACTAGCCTCCAATTCGCAAGGGTTTTCCAAGGTGTGTGTTCGGTATGTAACCTCGTAATTCTAACCTTTAATTTTTAACTTACCTAATTTAAAATCTGTAGTTGCGGGGCACATTTGAAAAACAGGATTGGGACACTTTTGAACTTTGTTCAAAGGTGCCCCATTACTACAAGCTCCATTAGGAAGAATTAAAAATTAATATGTGGATTTTTAGGAGCTAAGATGGTACGTACATACAAAAGAAAACGTGCAGCAGAAGTGCCTCCACCTGAAGTTGGTATTCAAAATGACATACAATTAGTGGAGGGTGGCATGAAACTTCGCACGGCTGCTGCAACATATGCATAAGGAATTAAACATACGACACTATTTTATAGAATAAAAAGGAAACAGGAACGAGAAAGGGCAGAACAAAATGGTGTAGTTTATTATGATCTATCGAATTATTCAAGTTTGTATTCTACTGGTCAAGCTTTTAACAAAACTAAAGAAGACCTATTAGTTAGTTATATATTAAAATCTTCAAAAATAAATTACGGTTTAACATACACCCTTTAGTCAGGCCGTGGAGTTTAGGGGTCTACATTGTAAAAATGACATGCACCCTATCCTCCATGCTATGGCATGCTGGACGAGCCATACAGTCTGTAGTCGACACCCCGAGGTATGAGCGGGAATACAAAATGTACCAATACTCATACGCTTATGAAACGTACCTGGCGGATCATAAGGGCCTTCACATTTTGCTCTTTTTCAACTTGTCTGGAGTGAAATGTCTTTAATCTTTCCTATCGGCCTCTCTTGGCAAACTCTTGTTTTTCCGACCCCGAGTGGCTATTAGGGTAATCCGAGGGCGGACGGGTCACTATAATTCTGTCTACTACACTCTACTACTCTTCTTTCGACTAAGGGAGTAAACCCTAACAGAAAATCCTGGTCCTCCTGGTAGGGGGTTGGGACGTAGAGCCTGCTCCTCTACACCCGTGAAAAACTTACTGCAAAAAATTCTAAAATCCAGCCTCGGAATATAAGGACTTTGAATATAAATACATGGAATATCCAAGGGTGGAGAACCAAGTCAGACGAAGTCATGGCAGAAGTAAAGAAAATAAAATCAGATATCACGGTTCTTACCGAAACAAAGAAAAAAGGCCAAGGTAGTGAAGACATAGGAGGTTTTATACATATTTATAGTGGAGTAGAGAAAGACAAAAGAGCACAAGCAGGGGTATCAATATTGATTAAAAAAGACTTAAAAGGAAACCTGAAAATCTGGGAGCAGATCAATGAGAGAATTATTAGAGTATCTATTACGTGGAAAGGGCACGACCTCGAGATCATTGGAATATATGCTCCGTCAGAAAATGCATCAAAAGCAGCTAAACAAATATTCTACGAAACTTTATCGGAACTCATTGAAAATATAAATAGCCACAAAGAAATTGTGCTGTTGGGAGATTTTAACGCTTGGACAGGAACAAAAATAAATGACAAAGTCGTAGGAAAATATGGTGACGCTAAAACAAATGAAAATGGGGAACACTTAATCGAATTCTGTGAACAGCACTCTCTGAAAATCCTAAACGGATTCTACCAACATAAAAACATACATAAGTACACCTGGGTTCAACCAACGAGAAACACAAAGTCAATTATAGATTATGTCATCACAAAACAAGAAACACACATACAAGTTGAAGACATAAGAGTACTAAGAGGACCGGAGTGCGGAACTGACCACTATATGGTAAGATCAAAATGTTACCTACAGTATCGACCTCGGCTACTACATCAAAATGACAACCAACTAGCTCAATCAAAACCCCTGGAATCGAATCTACCTAAATACAATATTGATGCACTGCAAAACGACTCGACATCATTCTTATATAAGCTGCGACTTAGCCTAAAATTGGCAAACCTGATCTACTCCTCAGCCCAGAATACCTATAAAGAGATAATCAATAAAATCAATGAAGCAGCTTACGAAGCGCTCGGCACAATCCAAAAGAACAAAAAGAATACTCCATTGTGGTGGACAAATGACATCGCCAATGCAGTACACAACAAGAAACAAGCATATCAAAAGTGGCTGCAAACAAATGATCCAGATGATAGACGAACATATGCAAGATTAAACAGAGAAGTAAAAAACTTAGTAACTAAAGCAAAAAATATTTCCTGGGAAAGTAAATGCGAAGAACTCAACAAATATATAGGGTCAACAAGATCAAGAGAAGCATGGAAAACGGTAAAAAATCTGAGAACAAACAGAAAAGAAACGAGTAGAATAGATTTAATAGAAGAAAAATCTTGGATCGAACACTACTCACAACTTTTAACTGAAACAAGACCTCAATTCACGAACATCAGTACAACACCATATGAACTGGAATTCAGTGAAGACGATGAAATAACAGTACAGGAAGTCGAGAATGCAATACGAACTCTAAAAAATGGGAAGTCATGCGGACCACAAGGTATACCAAATGAATTATTAAAACATAGCCCACAAGTATTACGGGAATTACTGGCGTATGTCTTCACCTTATTCTATAATGGACACGACTTACCACCGGAGTGGACAAAAGCACATATTAACAACATATACAAAAAAGGAGATAGAAAGAATTGTTCAAACTATAGGGGGCTAAGTGTCATAAATTCACTCTCAAGACTGTATGGAAAAATAATAAAAAATAAAATTGAAAAAGAGATGACAGATGTAGAAGAACAGAATGGCTTTCGTGCAGGCAGATCCTGCATGGACAGTATATTCTCTCTAAAGCAAGTTATCGAAAAAAGATTAGCCCACAACCTTTCAACTCATATAGTCTTTATAGATCTGACAAAGGCATACGATAGTGTACCACTTTCAATGCTTTGGGTAGCAATGGAAAAACAAGGAATAAGCAAAAAAAATATACAAGCAGTACAACAGCTCTACAAAAATATGACGGCAAACATTAAAACTGGAAATAGATTAACTAGAGAAATTCCTATTAGTAAGGGCCTAAAGCAAGGCTGCTGCATAGCACCTACACTCTTCAAAATATATCTAAATGAGGCACTCTCACTGTGGAGAAGAAAGTGCTGCAATATGGGCATCCCAATCGGAGATGATAGATTGTACACGATACATTTCGCTGATGACCAAGCCATTCTAGCTGAAGACGAGAGTGATATAAGCTACATGCTTAGAAAACTGGAAGATGAGTACACCAAATGGGGCCTCACAATTAATATACAAAAAACTGAGTACTTAGTTGTAGGAGAACAACCAGAAAGCCTACAAATAGAAATGGGAACTATAAAACCAACAGACAATTTTAAGTACTTGGGAGTCCAAATAACATCAAAAGCAGGAAGTAGCGAAGAAATACATTCCAGGATTGGCCAAGCAAGATCAGCCACCAGACAGCTACACGGACTATTATGGAATAAAAAAATAACAAAAGAAAATAAAAGAAGAATTTATAAAACAATAATAGAAAGTATTGGACTGTATGGCGCCGAACTCTGGGAAATAAACCAAAGAAACAAATCAAAAATTAAGGCCATGGAAATGAACTACTGGAGACGATGTTGCCAGCTCACTAGACTAGATAGGGTGAGAAACGAAGATATTCGGAGAGAAATGGAAATCGATCTTGACATAATAGACACAATCGAAGCCAAAAGACTTAACTGGTATGGACACCTTCAGAGAATGCCGGAAAATAGATGGCCAAAAAAAATAGAAGAATGGACTCCGCCAACTAGAAGAAAACGAGGTAGACCAAGACGATCCTGGAGAGACGATGTCGACGATGCAATGACCGCCAGAGATCTAACAACTGAAGATTGCTTCGACAGAAAACGCTGGAAATTAGGATGCGAGAAGCGGCGCCAGCTGTAGAAGACTCGCTTACATATCGCTTATCGCTTATATATATATATATATATATATATATATATATATATATATATATATATATATATATATACATACATACACCCAAAAAAAATTTTGACTTATTATTATGCAAAAAGACTGAACAAACCTATATGCACCAGTAAATGGAAAACACCCGCCTTAGTCAAGCTACCAGTTTTACAAAAGAAAAAGTTGGGACATTTTTTGACAATTATGAACATGGTCTTTCAACCCACGATTTCACACATGACAGGATCTATAACTTGGACGAAACTAGTATCAGCACTGTCCTGCAAGGGAATCAAACAAGTTAAGCAGATAGTTTCAGCAGAGGGAGGCACCCTGATCACTATGTGTGGGATAATTAATGCATTAGGAAATGCTATGCCTCCGGTGTACATATTTCCAAGAGAAAGTTTTTATGATACAATTTTGAATGGAGCTCCCTTGGCAAGTCTGGGTTTGGCTAATTCGCCAAGTTCTGGATGGATGACCAAGGAACTGGTTATCAAGGGTATTAATCACATTAAACGTTATACACAGTGTTCTTTTGATTCTCCAATTTTGATGGACAATGACGAAACTCATTGTTCTCTTGAATCCATGATGTTTGCACGTGAAAATGGTATGGTATTAGTTACTCTTCCCACCCCACACCTCACATCGCCTTCAACCGCTAGATTGAAGACGGTTTATTCGTCGTTTAAATCAAAACTTGCCACTGCTATGAACGAATGAATGATAATGCATCCTGCTCGAGCAATTACCATACATACCTTAGCAGCTATTACAAACACTGCATACACTTTCAGTGGCATTCATTTATCATGATGAATATAGTAGGTTTTAGAAAAACGGGCACTTGGCCCCTAAACCATCTTATATTTTCCGATGATAATTTTGTTTGACTGTGCTTTTGTTACTGACCAGCCACCACCAGAAAATAATGTAAACAACTTAACAGAAGCTGTTCTATTTACATCAACCGCAGTAGCATATGAAATTGAAGTTGTTCCATCTACATCAACCACAGTAGCACCTGAAATTGAAATTGTTCCATCTACATCAACCCCAATAACACTTAAAATTGTACAACCTTTCCCAAAGGCTGCCCCGAGAAAAAATATTAGAGCGCGAAAAAAGGTTAAGTCTAGAGTTTTAACAGTAACACCAGAAAAAAGAAAATTGAAGAAGAAACTCTAGCAAGAAAACAGAAATACGAACAGAATAACTATATTTTAGTGAAGTTTATTACAAAAAATATGTGTAATTATTATGTGGGACAGATCACTGAAATATTTGCTCTGGATTCAGAGTTTGAAGTTAAATTTTTGAAAAGAATTAAGGGTAAAGGGGCAAGTTCAACTTTCACTTCAACAAAGTTTCACTTTCCAGAAACGGAGGATATTTCGATAGTCCCCATTGAAAATGTAGTTTTAAAATTACATCCTACAAACAATGCAAATTATAGCACTTGCAGAACGCAATCATTTATTTCTTTTTCAAATTTGATGAATAATTACAATGTAAATTAAAAATTAACAGTTTCTTGTTTGAATGTCTATACCTTAGGCACTTAGGTACTTAGTGTTTTTTCACTTTTGTATATTTTATTGTGTCCTTTCAATAATAAACTGTATTTTTTGGTTTGATTTCAACGTATTTTTAGGTCATTCAAATGCGCCCCTTCTTAGTTCAAAGTTACCCTTAGTAAGGTCACTTTTGAACATTTTTCTTATGATATGTAAAGTTAATTTTTTTGTATCTTCCGATAATTTCTTGGTAAATTTGATAGACAACATTACATTTTTAATGTGCTAATGTTGTTTGCAATACCTAAAATAAATAATTTTAGACAAAGTAAGTCATAATACACTTTAAAAGAGAAAATGTTCAAAAAGTGCCCCCTCCTCCCCTACTAAAAACTTTAGACATTAGAAACAGAATGATTTGACTAATTATATAAGTGTATTGTTTACCTGCCAAGTTTTCTTGTGATCGAAAGACCTTTCTATTAACATGGCAGCTGGCCTAAAGGTCTTAAACGTTATAATTAAATGTGTAAAATGGAACTCAGCCTCTAAATCCAACTGAATGTATACCTTTTCTTTGCCATTTTCAGATTGCCACCACGACTTTTGACGTGTCCTTAAAATAAATAACAAAAATAATAAAAATCATATTTAAATTGTTAGTGTATCCTCGATTTTGCATATTTTGGGAATAATAACACTATAAATGAAGAAAATATATTCTAATAACAATACGATCGATATTACTAGCACACGAGCTAAACTTAATTAGGTACGCCAATCAAATAAAATTTTAATACATGTAAAAATAAAGTAATTTACCCCAGTCTGGTTATGCAAAAATCATCGATTTAACGGCAAAATTTTTCGCAGATATCTGAAGCATTTAAGACATAGGTGGGGGTTACTAGATTATGAATACATGAAAAAGTACTCGTATTTGTACCTTGCGTTTTTTTAAACAATAATTTATGGTCACCATTTGATTTTTTGTCTATAAGTTTTTCCATTATATTTTACATAAACAATATTTATATTATTTTTTAATATCAAAAATATCTTTATTTTCCTGTTTTTGTTTAATTAAAATTGATAAATAATTTACTGAGATATTTGGAAAAAAGCAGTTTTTTGCACTAATTTATAAATTTTGTTAATTTTTTTATTAAAAAAATAAAATGTTATTAATACATTTGAACATCGAGAAATTAGCGTCTTTTAAATTTGTGCGAAATTTCCCTGCGATTGGTCAAATAGTTATTTAATTTATTTATCCTAAATATTTATACTATTGAACTTGCTCTATTAATGATAGACACATTTAGGATTTTTAGACAAATTTCATAGGATTCCTTAATACTTAAACTATCTCAGAAGTTAAATGCACATTGCGTTTTCATCGAAATTATTTACAAAATACAAAAAATTTTGAATGAAAATCTAAACTTTATATTGTAACTTATAGCTATAAAATTCATCCAATTTTTCGAAACGAAGGTATTTTCGAAAGATCGACATAGGAAAGTGGAGGGGATAGCTCAAATTGAAACACGTAGGAAAAATTTACATTATCTTGGCTTCCATTGCAACTAGAAGCCTCTTTTTTAATCTGGGGTAGCTCGTCGAAATATGAATAACAACATAGTTTTCACTGGCCGGGAAATATGGGAAACCTCGGAAAAATTGAGTCCATATGAAATTCACCGTAAAAAGATACTTTTTTTTAATTTGGCTGGAATAGTCTGTCGCAGTAGTAATAATGATGACATAATTTTCAGCCGCCCCCCGGAAATCTCGGAAAATCCCGGAAAATCAACATATATATATACACTTGCGTGCATAGAAATCGGCCCACTGTAAACTTTTGACTTTAACTATATTTTTTCAAGAAATATTCATCAGATCACAAAAACAAATATACTGTTTGAAAGACAATTTAATATGCTTTAATGTGAGTATAAATTTATCAAGAAGGCTTATCGTTTACATGCGTAGTAACCGTTAAACAAATGAAACGTGTTTATGTGGTGATTGTCACGAAAATAACAAATTTGTCTAATTGTAAAAGTATTGCCTTTGCAAGTTAAATTTGCATATTATTCGTTTTTCATAATCTCAGCAGTGTTCAAGTGTGTTAGTTTAATGCATACTACACCACAAAAAGCCGCCCAAGTTATTGCTCTAATCGAAAATGGACTTAGTCAGCGAGCTGTTGCTAGACAATTGGATATGACACGCGCAGCGGTTCGAAGAGTGTGCCAACGTTATGAGGAGACTGGATCCTTTCATAGGCGACCTGGAACAGGCAGACGGCGATTTACAACCGCTCGTGATGACCGCTTTATTGTGTCAACAACATTAAGAAATCGTCACCTTAATGCCGTTCAAGTGCAACGACAGCTCCGTGAGGTGCGAAGAGTGGCTGTTAGTCAGTGGACAGTGAGACGAAGACTGCGGGAAAATAACCTGACCCCTAAAACACCTGCGATTGGTCCAAAACTTACTCCAGCTCATCGGCAAGCACGCCTGCGTTTTGCACAGGATCATCGGAATTGGACGTTGGAACAATGGGGATCTGTTCTGTTCTCAGATGAGACCAAAATATGCCTCTATGGTAGCGACCGAAGAAGGAAAGTGTACCGGAGACCAGGAGAGAGATTTGCAGAATGCTGCTTTGAAGAGCGGAGTGCTTATGAGGGTGGTTCCTGCATGATCTGGGGTGCAATTTCTATAGGAGCACGAACCGATCTTGAGTTCATTCGTAGGGACGACCGTGTTCACGGAAGAAGAGGTTTAACGGCTGCCAGATATATCGAGGAGATTTTAGCAATTCATGTGGTACCTTACGTCGACTACATTGGAGACGAATTTATCTTTATGCATGACAATGCAAGGGCACACACCGCAAGAATCGTGCAAGATTACATTGCAGAAGTCGGTTTTCAGGTTATAGACTGGCCAGCAAACAGTCCTGACCTAAATCCGATCGAACATTTATGGGATGAGCTAAAACGAAGAATTTGAGCTAGACTTCATACCCCAGACTCGATCCCAGAGCTTATTCTTGCAGCAGAAGAAGAGTGGCTTAACATCCCACAAGCAACAATAGCAAACTTGATTAGATCTATGCCTAATCGTATGAGAGATGTTATATTAGGGCCAGAGGAGGTCATACCTATTATTAAAAAATTAAGTGTTAAGTTTTAAATTGTCAATAACCCTATTTATGTTAATAATAAAAAAGCTTAATTTGCTTAATGAATTCATTTCACTATGTTAAACATAGGAAGCCGAATAAGTTTTCATAAATTTATACTCACATTAAAGCATATTAAATTGTCTTTCAAACAGTATATTTGTTTTTGTGATCTGATGAATATTTCTTGAAAAAAATATAGTTAAAGTCAAAAGTTTACAGTGGGCCGATTTCTATGCACGCAAGTTTATATATATATATATATATATATATATATATATATATATATATATATATATATATATATATAGTTTTTATTTTATATTAATGTAATAATACTTATATGTTTTATAAATTAAATTTCAGGTAATTTTTTACATATTATATTATTATATTCCTTATATTAATTATAATTATTTACTACTTTGACGATCTATAAGTCTATATATGTGTATAGGTATATGTAGAGTACGAGGACGGTAAACACATTTATTTATGTTTATAGACCTAAATATCTCCAAAGATCACACAGTATACCGTCCTCGTGTCCCTACATTTTATATTTATTCATGTGAATAGGAGAAAGGTCATCTATATAATAAAAAAACTGGTAACATATCTTAGTATGCGTAAAAACGGCGGGATGAGCAACAGTTGCCACGCTCCAAAATATCGTCAAAATAATCCCTAACTTCGTTCCTATTGGTCATAGGTTTTTTTAATGTGAGTTTTTTACCAGCTATGCAATGGTTGTACGTACAAGTGTGTAGCTTGAAAAATATAGAAGTTATTACAATTGTTTATAAGTAAAAAACATGCCCATTGTTCAAACGTTTATTTTGTAAATAATTTCGATGAACACGCAATATGCATTTAACTTCTGAGATAGTTTAAAGAATCCTATGAAATTTTCTAAATGTGTCTAGCATCATTAATAGAGCAAGTTGAATAGTTTAAATATTTAGCCTCAGGGATAAATAAATTAAATAACTTTTAAACTATTTGACCGATCGGGGGGAAATTTCGCACAAATTTAAAAGACGGTAATTCCTCGATGTTCCAATGTATTAATAACATTTTATTTTGTTAATAAAAAAATTAATAAAATTTATAAATTAGTGCAAAAAACTGCTTTTTTGCAAATATCTCCGTAAATTTATCAATTTTAATTTAAAAATCGGGAAAATATAGATATTCTTGATATAAAAATGATAAAAATATTGTATATATATATTTTATATCACGAAACACTTTTTTGACTTTTTAAAAAATTTATTAATTACAAAATACAAGTTACGTGGTAAAATGAATGAAATATAAAATATAATGAATGAACTACAAAAATATACTGAATAATAAATTAAGAGCGACAAGCGGTTTTATAATATTAGTAAATGCTGACTCAGTGGGAACGTGTAAAAAGCTTGGGTCCCGCTGACTCTGCTGGTACTGCATTTGCAAGGATCCTTATCGGCTCAGGTTGTTGGAAGTGGAACCTGATACCCTGGGAATCGTCGTGATAAGGAACATCGGTTGGTACAATGCATATAACAGCTCCCCTTTTAGATGAAAGTTGATGCGTGGCAGCAACTTTTAGACTGTCTGTTTATTGGTGTTAAGTTGGATCTGCTCTTCTTCGTCTATGGCGTCGCTTAGGTGGATACTGGGTCTTCGTCTTGGAAGGATTTTTCTCCAATTCCGGGTGAAGGCTGTCTCTGGGTGTCTTGGTGGAGAGGGAGGATGGTCATTGTCATTGGTATTGCCAATTCCTATCCTGTATCTTCTTTTGGATCTGCATTTACATATAACATAAAGAACAACAAGAGTTACAATGACAACTATGGTAAAAATGGTGAACCAGCTCAGATGTTTGTTGACAAACGGTTCATTGATTAGTTTATCGAGTTCTTCAGAATACTGATTGAGTTTGTGATGGGCTATCTCGAGGTCTTCAGTATTGATCTTGCTAAGCTTCAGTGGTTTTAAGTCGGGAAGATGGATTTTATCTGGGAAGTGTTTGCAGCAATTGAATGGTATTTGGACTGGGTGACTTCTGTAAGTGACATTGTCATGAACGTCGATTAATTTCTGAGAGTGTACTCTTGTACTACCAATAAAGGCATCGCACGTGGGTTGTAGATTGAGTACATGGTTTGTGTAAATAATCTCTGATTTGACGTCTCTGGATTCGCATTTGATGGTAATAGGCAGTGGATCAGAAACTGTTATGAGCCAGAGGTTTATGTTGATCTTCTGGACGTTGTAATCTTTGGCAAATACTACGGAAGTCTGGCATGTTCTGGGAAGGCGTTCTTGTCGTTTCAGAAGTTGGGCTTCGCATATGGCATCGCTGTCGATTGGGTATGGAAGTGTGTTGTAACAGATCTTGGTTCGAGCTCGCAAAGTTTTGCATGACTCAA